ATGGTAGGCATAAAGTATACTTATATTTCTTTTTAGTTAATAAATATAGACGAATATCGTAAAGTTAATTTAACCTCCTGTCTTAGTTTCTTTTCCAGTGTGCTGTAACTATAATTTTTACACCATACGCTGTAAGCCATTCCGCTTGAAGGTGGTGGGCAAGAAGGCTCGATCGGCTCGATTGGGAGTTCGTGACTCAGCTCGTTGTATTGCTCAAACTATGGACACATGGTGGGCGGTTGTAAAGCTAAAGAACTTACACACAAAACCATTTTCCTGTAAAAAAAAAATTGTTGTTTAAGAAGTTTACAGGAAGCTTGAATTTCCCCATGTTGTTCTTCTAATTTCATGCATGTATCTTTTAATTGTAATTGGTCTTTTATCGAAAAAAGTAACCATTATTAATCCACGTCACATACTAATATTAAGCTAAAAGTTAAAAACCATCTATTCCTTCAACAGCATATCTAAAGAGTATTTTAATCTCTAACACCAGATTTATTAAAAGTTCTTCAAGCTCTGGCTTCTCTTTTATAGTAATTTTATTCAATTGCTATATATAGTGAGGGTGGACTATTTATATTACAAAATCCTTAAGTGCTACCTCCTTTCTTTTCTGGATCAAGGCCTTCAACTGATTCTTAGTCAACTCAGATATAAATGGTTCTTTTGTTCTTGTGTTTTAATTATAACTTATAAACTTAGTTAAAAATGAAAGTTGTCATAACAACTTACTCGAAACATATTATTAAATTTTCTAATTTTTTAACTTGTTCTTGATAGGTTGTATATACATCGTAATAATTTAAAGCTGTTAATAAGTTTTTTTGCTTTTCAAAACTAATTCCATCAGTTTTGTAACTGATATCATCTTCATGATTGCTAATTTTATAACAATAGCTATTATCAGTGCTTATTTCCTTTTCTGCTTTCTTTAAAACTTCATTAGCAGACAAAAGTATTTCCTCTAACTTATCTTCAAGAGCTTTATCCAACTCTTTAGAAAGTACCTTACGCTGTAATAGCGAGCCTGAAAAGCTCCGAATGCTATGTTTAGCAGTTATTAAAGAATCCTCTATTACATTATCTTCTTTCATATTGTATTGCCAAGCTAGTTAGAATATTCGACCTCAAATTATAAGGGCTGGAAATTACACCAGAAAGGAAAAGTTTATTTCCATAAAAAGATTTTAGTTGAGCGACTACGATTATTTAAACCATAATATTACAAATAGACTGCCTCTTTGTACTCGTATTCTTCAGACGATAAGTATTTCATTTTTTATTTCTGTCCAAAGGATTGATTAGGGTAAAATGATTTTGTTGTATTCTGTTTCCGCCCTATATATATTTTTAATTTTTAAATGTTGTACATCGTTTCCTAAGGCAACTAAAATATTAACACTAACAAAAAATTATAGTAATATGTAACTCAGCGAAATAGACACTGAAAGCTAGAAAAGGAATTAGGATGTATATTTTTCCTCGGGTGATAGCTAATGCATATGGCAAGGAATAATACGACATTATATATATTTAGCGGTCAAAAGGTTTATGAAAAATCCTAAGTTTATAACCCATATGCTAAAACAAATGCTGATGGTAAATCTTTGGTTCATCTGTACTGCATTGTTAGCTATATCAGGGCCCACAGTCTCTTTTAATCCATTAAAAAATAGTAATTGTCTTAAATTTATTAAAGACATGGAGACCGGCATTTGCACCTAGTAAGGTGGCCATACCAAATTGTTTAGAGGTGGTCGTTGAGGACACATTGGACTTGTGTAATTTTAGGATACCTAAGCAGAAGGGCCTACCCCTTAAATAAAAGAGCGCCACCGTCGTTTTTCTCTCGACGGAAACGACAACTTGGTGTTAGGTATTAAAAATCTTTAAGAAAGCACACTTTTTCATAAATACTAACACGTAGATGTAAAATGTAAGCCTATGTAAAATAAAAAAAGATTGAAGGACTGATGTGTACCCTTTAAAATTTGTTCTAGCGGTACTTTGAAGATTAGATCTTCAGCGTGCTGAGTGGGTGCACCAATTTCGCAGAGGGAGTTTATTAAAGCTCCTCTCACGTTGCTATTTGCACTCTATTTGAAGGCACTGGCCAGGTAGTTAACTCGTTTTATGGTCATCCTATACGCAAGGCGAAGGGCCGCCCACTTCGCCAACGTTTACAGCATTATTTCGACCACATGCTGGTTAGTGTTGCCACCAAGTTCGGTCACTGGACAATCCGCTAAACTTAAGATCACGAGCTTGTCACACCTTTAATATATATATACTAAAGTAGTGTTTTTTAACCATGAGCCTTGTTCTAAGACTTAAATAGCGTGAGTATTGGAAGCATAAATGTCAAGCATTACATTAAGCCATCTTAGTAGATGTAGTGCATATCTATGAAGAGGCTTCGAGAGGCTTATTTATTTAACTATAAAATATTACTTGCACATATTAAGCGCTTTGATAAAAAAAAAAATTGAACCCCATGCCAACGCTGCTTCTAAAAGGGCCAAAATGTCTAAAGCATTTTGAAAAAGTGAACTACAATACTTATATAAAAGCTTTAAAATTATAACGGAAAAATATATTTTTACCGAGCAAAATCTTATTTTAGTCAAGGGTCAACTAATTATTTTATTCATATACCGCAGCAATTTGCTATTTTATAAAAATTATCTAAGAAAAGTTGACCTAATAGTTCATATTTAAATTTAGCTGGGCTCTAAAACTTCATGATCCTCATCCTTCGAGGGCTAATCAAAGATTTAAAAGCAACCAAAAGCTTAGAGCTTAGTCAACTGATAAAACTAGTGACTAAGTAGGTATTACCTAGTTCTTGCTTCTGGATGCATATATAATAAATTTTATAACATTTAGCTTAACAATATAGAAAATTAATTCTTTTTTTATTGAGTTGTTTAACCCTGCACAGCTTCTTACGCACTCTACAGTTTACCAGCTTTGAAAAATTCCTTTGTAACCAAGTGACTTTTTTAATAATCATGTATTAACTTATGAAAAATTGAACCCAACATTAAGGGGTCCAAGTCAGAGAGAATTTCCTAAAACATGTGCTGGCTAAACCCGCAATAAGCTTGGTCGCTTAACTGTTATCATCTCTAGTTTTATAAGATGATTTTTCTATAGCCTAAGCTAAGTTGAATACGTCTAAAATTTATGAGGAAAAGTCCTTTATAAAAAGGAGGGCAGGAATGGGTCCGTGCCTAATAACTTAAGTAGACGGCATATCTTCCCTATAGTCTTAATTTAGTATAAACTTGCGCGTCATAAGCTCCAATACGAGTAAATAAGTTTTATATTGATCCGCCATTTTTGTTAACTACGAAAAAAAATTAGTTGGGTTATCATGAAAATTTGTTTTCACTCAAAAAGAAAAAAGTTATTTTAAAAACGTATAGTCAAAACAACTTTATTTAAATTTACAAATTTGTTCTTAGGTAAGGCATAGACGTAACCACCAAGGCTAGAATGCGTAGCTGCACCGAAGGAAATGAAACCCACGAAATTAATTATACGGGTCGATGTATTTACCGGTTAGCAACTTGGACAACTCTCACTCTTGGCTGATGAATTACATATAAATTTTTTGTTAGACACAGCTTAAGAATGGTTAAGGTATACCAAACTTCGGCTGCCTTGAACCAAATTCTAATATTTTCATTGTACATAACAATACAAACTCTAGAAATGCCAACCAGTTTAGTCCTTTAATATAAACTTTTTTTGATTTCCAAGCTAAAAATTAAGTACTAAAAACCACCATTAATGTAGAGCTCTTTAAACTAGCGAGGAACCAGAGTTATAAATAATGGGCAAAAGTTGTAAAAGATAGTGCTTGAATATGAATTAAACTCTTCTACCCACTGCTTAATTAAATAGTCGTAAAGCTCTACTTTTATAAAAGTCAGTTAATTTTCTTTAAGGAAATAAGTGTTATAAACTCAAAAAACCCAGTTTAAAGAAATTAAATAAATATATAACTAACAATTTTAAGAACTTTTAGTTCATTAAAAATTTATGCTTGTCGAAAGTGACTTTCTTTCGTCTCAGAGAGCTTGCTCAACTAGCTTCTTGGTAGACACGATGCCATGCATTATATATTATTGAATAAATGCAAATGAAGATTTTCTGGTGTTTTTAATTGTTTAAATGGCTAACTGAAGAGTTTCGTTCACTAATAACATTAATACGCTTCTGGTAGTGCACATTTTGCATTACCTAACTTTTTATAGAGATCTGATAAGCCTTCTAGCGACCCCATTAAAGCAGAATTAAGATTTTCAAAATCTAGCAGTGCCACTTTAAAGTAAATTTTTTTAAACTATACTAAAATCTTTATTTGGCTTTTACTGTTTAGAGTTGCAGAGACTGGAGCCATCAAAAGTCATTTTTAAAAATTATTAAGCCCCTCTGAGACGGCTTAATGGGCGAAACTAGTCCAATAGAATTGAACTTCATTATAAGCTTCAAAAAAAACTGCTTTTACCTTTCTTAATATTCTTTACCCTTCTCAGACCGCTGGTTGATGTAAAGAGAATTGATGATAAAGTTTAGATGAATGAATGAGCTTCTTTAAATTTAAGAAAAAGTTTTCTTTTCTAATGACCAGTAATACTTTGAATAAATTATCTTTGCGTTAAGTGTAAAGGTATTCACACCTAATGTGGTATACTGTTTAGTTCATTTTTAGTTTACGAAGACCTTTAATAATTAATTATTACTTTGAAAACTTTTTTATATTTTTTTAAGTAAGTTAGTTAAAATATTGTACTCGGGTAACCCATTTTCTTAAGTTGATATAGTAATAACTAAATGCAAGAAATTAGATATTAAGGCGTCTTAACCAACAAAGCGGTTATAAAAAAATTTTTTTTAACGCAATGGTAGTGGTTTAGGAAGAAAAAGCAATTTAAAGGACAATTTTTTTAACCTTAGTTGTTCGTCTTAGCCAGATCTTAAAACTTTGTTCTCGCTGCTTGGGTATGCCGACAGTTTTTACTTCTTTAATTACCGCCTTGACTGCGTTTTCCATGAAAACCTTCTAAGTCTTACATCCAAAAAGAAGTTTATTGTCCACAAAATGAATGAACGTTATAAAAAAGACGAGTTAGCATTGTGTAATTTATTACAAAAGCAAGATGGAAAGTTTCGTCGCATAGCACCTCTCGAGGACGGTGAGAGTTTATGTGAATACTGTTTCCAAAGGAAAGAGAAGCCTGTTCTTACAGTTCCAAAAAGAAAAAGGAAGAGGAGGACCAACTTAGAATTGACAAAAGATGTTTGCTGTTCTAACTGCCACCGGAAGTATGCTACATTTCATTCTTGTCTGCAGCACTTTAAAATCAAACACCCAAACCTTTCTCCAGAAATGCTTGAAAATTTCCATGACAAAAGCAATGATAAAGTAATGGATGTTCCAATAGATAATGTAAAATTTGAACAAACACAACAATTATCTTCAAATGAATATAAAGTAAAGCTGTCCCCTACTGGTGCTGCCTTTGCTACATCTAGTGTTGTGGCACCTCAACTCTTGAGCACTCCTAAATGTGCTAATAACCAAAGGCCAGCGTCCTGCTTTCCTTTAAAACCTGCATCGATACCTTCAGAGTGTGGTAATAACTGTGGTCACCAATGTATAATAAAGGAGGGTGCTACACCTGGAATGATTAGAAATGTTACGTCGTTCGTCTCTTATGGTCCTATTCATCCAAGCTTCAGAGGGTGGGCTTATGTAAGTTATTTTTTTTTTCGCTTTTTATTTAAGTTTTTTCTAAAGAAATTAAAATATTTTGATGCAATCCAGGATTTCCCACATCCAAATTATAGAGGACAAACTATCCGCGTAATAATTCAGCCTTATCAGCCTACGCAGCTCATTAACCAAGAAATGCCTTGTTTTGTCCGCAATGTTAACGTTTGCCCTTACTTCCCGCGCTTGGACGAAAGGCTAAACTCCAAGGTTACGACCGAAAATTCGTCTCATCTTAACTCAAATAATTAACGTTTTAAAAGATAAAAAACATACAAGAAGCCTAACAAACTTATAATAAACAGTATAAACCATACTTTTTCGGCGTAGGTGGTTATTCCCATAAGAATTAACGTAAAAATAAACATCAAAAGTATAAATTTTTTTTTTTAATAAATGGTGGTCTACATAATATATTAAATTTAGTCATAAACCAGGGGACCATTCCCATTTTCAATAGTGGTATGTGCACCAAGAAATTAGTGTTATCAGTTATTTAAGTTAAGCGTATTATCCTTGAAAGCCATAGAAGAAGAATTTTAGATCTACTGGGCCGGTACAATAAAAAGTTCAAGTAGTGTTACCATTGAAAAAAGTAATTTACTTTCGTACAAGAGGCCTCCTCATTGGTGGTTAACACTCAGCATTAGTGAACATTTACTCCTCTATGAACGGCTCCTTTTTTATTGATAAACAACTTTTCTTCTTATAAGAAATTTTAAATGGTGCCTTGTTTATCACAATTGAACTGGAAGGTGTTGAACTCGATAACGTTAAGTATAATGACCTTTTCTTAAAGTGAAATTTGGGGAAGATTTTTTTTAACTACTACTACCTAACGCGTAATACTAAATCGATGCTATTATGAATCACGGGCGTTTAAAAAATTAATAACTACTTTTTCATTTTAAATTAGTTATTTTCTAATATATATTTTGCAGAAACTATAACTGAAATAAAAAATTATAAGGGACTAGAGAGCCAGAAGGACAACAAAAATTATTATATTTAGGTTGCTGCTTAATCAATTATTACTTAGGCGTTCTTAAAGAACTCGAAGCATTTAACTTTAAAAAAAAATTAGCAACAATGTGATGATACCTTTCTTTTTCTTTGTGCCTAGGCATACTCAAAGTAAGAGAACAGCACTCGAGTGACCAATGCAATTACTAATAAGGTCAAAATACCTTTACTACCGCTTTACAAAAGCGCGGAATCTATATATTTTTTCAGAATCATAAGCCTACGGCTCGTTTTCGCGCTGCGTAGGATCTGTAAAAAAAAATTTAAGGAGTCTACACTCGTTTTTATATTTTTCAACTTTTTAAGGCTTTTAGCAAAATGTAAAATACTTTGGTAAAAAACTAGTCTATAAGTTAGTTAACCTGAAAACTTTAACTTTTGTAAAAAAGATTAAAGGGTTAGATTTTAAATAAAGTTTTATACGAAAATTTTTTAAGTAGTAAAATTTAAGTGCGCGTACGAGTAAAAGAAAAATTAGTTTTAAGCTAAAAAAAATTGGTCTATTATTTTTTACTAAAATAAGTTTTTACAGCCAGTACATGGCCGCGACCTGCGTTGCTTTAAGATTTTGCGTGCCCATGATTCTTCGTTCGTTATACTTAAGTTTTGTTATAGACCCTATAAAACTATTATACAAGTAGGAAAACTTTTTCGGACCCACCTTAATTATGTTTATCTTTACTTTCCTTGCATCCGGGATGTTTTATTCAAGTATGTGAAGCCTAATTATTCATTGGTCACATACGTTTGTGTGCGCAACTGTCCTCTTCCCCAATCGGCGCTGGTTACTATTTGAAACCACAAACAATCTAAAGAGCTATTGGCGTAGCTATTAGTCACAGCATTTGTGAAGGATGAAATTTATGTTGTATCTAGTAATTCGCTAATAAGATCATTGGCTCCGTATATTTTTAAAGTTAAAAAACTATGATTCTTATTTGTTTTTTTTTATGTATATATAGTAGCGCTTGGCGCGGTAATGCAGTGCTTCGTCTTAGGGTTTGTGCCTCGTCTTGTCCTTGTTTCTGTGGTGGCTTCGACTTTCGTTTTTTGACTCGGGTAGAATTGGGTATCGGAAGTTTATTCAAGTTTAGTGCTTACTACTTTAAAAGAAAAACTTTAGTGCTATCGAGATCTTCCAATAATACCTGGGTTTAGATTAGGTTTAAAGTATGAAAATATTTCGTTCCCGCTCCAAACTTCGTTTTAAAGAGGGGACTGATCAGCAAGTAAAGGAGAGGATGAAAGTTTGTTCTCAACTACTTCTTTTTCCCTTTGTACATTAACTTTTAGACAAGGGGTGCTTTTTTCTCAAAGAACCATTGTTGGATTTATGCGAACTTTCCTTGAATGAGTTGCCTGAAGCTTTGTTGCGCTGCCACCACATAACAGACCTTCTAGCGATGGACAATAAGCTTTCTTGTATCATGTTATTATTTTTGTTCAATTTTACTTACTCATGTTTATAAGCACTTCCGGCCGGCCTACACTCTAAATTCCAGCGGCTGTCTATCGTTGTCTTAAATGGAAATCACCTATGTGACCTACCAGAGGGTTAAAACTATACTAAATTAGAATTCCCGTTTTTTTCTAGACCAGTAAGTTTACCTATAACTATTTTTAGATTTTCTTCCGCCAAATTTGAAAACTTTGGACCTTCGGTGCAACAAATTTACTGACGTGCTTACATTCCACATTTCTCTTCGACTTCTGGCTAATTTTATTTATTTTCGAGATTCCTCCTTGTGTATACAACCTGAAAACGTTGGAGCGTCTATTGCTTGGCCAGAATAAGTTAACTAAAGTGGATCCTGGAATCGGGAAACTGACTGTGGCTATGTCTCAGTTTAGGTTTACTTAGTTTCTCTAATGGTCTATATTTTTAGCGCCTTCGCTTTTTGAGTCTGAGAAATAATAAACTCACTGGCTTGCCTGAGGAGATAGGCTTGTTGACCCAGCTATCTGTTTTGGACGCCCAGTACAATAGCCTCACCTCAATCCCAGAAGGTTGCTCTCATTTTAGCTGGCTGCTTTTTATATAAGACAACTTTATAATGGGACCAACGAGAAGATATCGGGAAGTGCCAGGAGTTGACGTCTTTGGACCTAAAAAACAATCAGATTGTGTATTTGCCCGAGTCAATCGGCGACTTGAGGAAGCTACGGCGGATCGGTTTAATGTACAACAGCCTCACCAAACTGCCGGCTTCACTGCAGAACTGTTAGGAGTGCTTACACAGGACGCTCGGCTCCGCTCGACTGGTCTTTTCTGTTAACTAGGCACCGGCCTCACGGAGCTCGTGGTGGAGGGCAACGGGGTTTCGGAGATCCCCAAAGGTGTTTTTAAGGAGCTCACGAGCATCACAAATTTGAATTTTTCGCGCTGCGCCTTCGAGAATTTCCCAGAGGAGCTCGTCTATTTAACCAAGCTGAAGGTTCCTGTTTCTCGTCTTGCTATTTGCTCGTGGCTCACCAGCTCTTCAGGAGCTTGTTATAGACACTAACTATATACACTCTCTTCGCGTGGACATTCTCGGGGCTATATCTCTCCATCGTCTGGACGTTTCTAATAACCGTATAAAAATTCTGCCGGAGGACTTGACAGGGCTGCAAGCTCTACAGGAGCTCAATCTTTGTAGAAACGACATTGCAAGACTTCCTGGTAAAACCTCACTGACCTGACAGGGTGTTAGATAGGGCGATAGCGGCCGCTTTAACTACTAATTTACACTTCTCGGGCTTTTGTGTATAGGAGCGATCAACGTTATTACGCTTCTTAATAAGCTGGTCCTTTCTTACAATGAAATCGAGTATCTCCCGATGGGGATTACGCATCTGCATTGCCTTGAGCACCTCGATTTAGAATGCACGTTTTTATCTGATCCGCAAGCCTTTCTTCCACGTGGCTGATATCTATATTGCAGCGAACAAAATTCAAAAGCTTCCCAAAGGATTCAGAAATTTAGTAAACTTGAAGTTCTTATCCCTGCAGGCCAACCTCATGGAAGATTTTGATGAGCAGATCTGTTATCTTGAGAAGTTAAAAGAGCTGTATGTCGGCGAAAATCAACTTCGCTCTCTTTCCCCGAAAATCGGTGGGTTTGTAGTCTATATTTTTTGGGGTTGTTATACGTAATTGTGTTTAGGTAAGTTGCATGCTTTGGAAGTTCTGCATATTAACGATAATGAGTTGGACGACGTCCCCTGGCAGCTTATTCGATGCGAGAAGCTTCGTAAGCTTAACTCGGAGGGGAACCCCTACCGGAACATTTCAAAAGCCTATCTGGGGCTGGGGTCCCAAGGAATTATTCATTACTGCCAAGAGGCTCGCTATGGTATCCGGCTCTAACAGCCTCCGGTTTCTTTGGAAGGGTTGTATGCGAACATACAAGAATAGTTAATATATTATTTGGTTTTTTCGCACTTCCTGTTAAGTTTTTATTAAGTCTAAGGAGAATTCCAGGAGCCGGGCGTAGGTGTTTTGGTGTACAACGCCTACTTTATTAACGGAAGTATGCGCCCGGTAGACTTTGAGGCAAAAAGAAAATTTGCGGTTTTCTTAGAAAAGACTCATCGTCGTTTTTACGAGAGAGCTTGTGCAAGGCTGTTTCGTTTGATGTTTATATCACGACAAGAGCCTTATTGTTTCGGTTGGACTTTTTGTTACGTCTATAAGTACATTGAAGTCGTCTTTTATTAAAAACCTTTTTAGAGTAATGAGGCTATTCCCTCTAAGTAGCTTGTGGCACAGATAGTAAGGGATTAGGCAACTTAAGTTTTTAAGTTTTAGTATGGACTCATTTTTTTAAAATTTCGGCAGGAGTGCACAAGCCGGATGAGCAAATGTAGATTGGTATAAGAATCGGCGTAATTAATAAAATTGTTTAAAGTGGCGTGCCCGAAGCTCTATAATCTAAATATTAATAAGTAAAAAAAGCAAAAAGAAGACTTTACGACTACTATTTCCTCTGAGTAGTTATACCGTGGTTACACCTTTACTAAAGCTTTAAGAAATCTGTATTTTATTGGTATATTTTGATGTGTTGGTAAGCTCTCGACGTCTCGGAGTTTTTGTATGTCCCCTTTGCATAGTTCTTCACTACTTCGTTGAAGTTTTAACTCTTTCTGTGTATGGTTTATCATAATTTTTATCAATCTCGTGCATGTAAATGTCCTAACTTAGTGCTCTGCACTCTTCCTCCCAAGATAATTAGTGTACTTTGCTTTTGTCCGAAAAATGCTTTCGTTGAATATAACTTTTGTTGCGAGGAGTAAAGCAATCCATTATCTACCCGTTCAGTCAGCTCTAGAGCGATTACTTTCGCTTTGTTGAGATTCCTTTTTTTCGCTTGACGTGCCGTTAACCTTTCCAGCCATAAAATGAGTTTCAAAGTTGTAGTGCAATAGCATTCATATTAACTTTCTAAGTAAGCAACGCCTGTTCTTGTGTTGTCAGTTATATTTTTTAGAATCCAAAAAAGTTTGAATTTTAAATTCTTTGCTCCATTTAGTGTTTGCAAATTACTCTGGTAAGTCTTGTATTTTAATCGTAGAGCGTACCTCTGGTATATGTTTATATTAGTTCGACGTTTTTTCTTTTGGTCTATTGATAATTGGAGTATTGTTTCATAAAATCTTCTTACGTCAGCTAAAAAAAGTAGTTTAACGATGCAGTGCCTGAAAAAAATGAACTGAATCTTCGAGCCCTTACAATCCCATGTTCAGTTGCTAAACCATTTTTTGTATCCTCTTGATAAAGCTAGTTAAGTGAATTTTGTGGTTTGTAGACAAGATAGTCGTATGTTAACGATATATCGGGTTGGAGAGCTTTGTGTGGAAATAGCAGTGTAAGCGTTGTAGCTTTGGGTAACAGAGGAATACGCTTCTTGTGAGCTTGTGCCTCAGGTTAGCGGTTCAACCTTGCGCTGTGAGCACTGTTTAAAAGGTGTCCGAGATGTGAAAACTTTCTAATATAGAAATGTCTTAAAGTTTTAGTAGTGACTCAGTTTATTACAGTAAAATGGAGTCATTCGTCTCTGGCAGCGCTAAGGTATCCTTTTTGGTCTTTTGAACGCTTTTTGCTTTAGTTTTCTTTTTCTATTTGTTTCTAGCTATGATTTTACGCTAAAATGTTTTCTAGTGCTCCCCCCCTTAAATAATATCATTATCGGTTTTAAAATGCTTCTCGCTTAACTGACTTTTTACAGAGGGCAAGCCCTCACTACAGAAATTCGAGTTCCAAATCAAAATATTTTATTAACTTTTATCTGCCTTTATTTAATAGTTGTTAAACAATTTTTTAATTTTAAATAAAAAGTAATTGAATCATATAAAATGTGGCCAATGACTTTGCCGTGCAAAGATCTATTACTGACGATCGTATTTTTAACTATATTTGATTCCTAAAAAGTTCAACTTTCAACTAATAAATAAAAGGAGTTTGCAACATATAAGTTTTTTATGGCTCGAAGTAGGCTTTTCCCCCGTGGTTATTATTTTTGTTTTGTATGGTTCCTTTTAGTTGAAGGGTTGGGTGTGTGCTATAATTTTTTAGTTTGCCTTGTATCTCTATACCAGTACTTTTTAAAAACTCGTTCCAGTTTTCTTTTTTAATTACAATTTTATTAAATGTTTGTCCTCCTGTGTTTGTTTACATATCCTTACTATAGTTGCACTGCGATGTTTTTGTTGATTAATTTTGTGGTATTGTCCTGGTACTCAAGTATGTCTAAGCCTTGTTAATACCTTTTTGTTTTTTAAGTTCTTCAGTTTGGTAGGAAGTAGATTAGTTGTACTCTTTTAGTACAGTTACCAATCCTCGTCTCAACTAAATCATCTGTAGATGGGTAATATATAAATAACTTTTTTACTCTGTCAAACACACGAAAAAGTTAGATGATGTAATTTAAAGTCTTGATTTACGAATTTCACTTTCTCACCCACAATATAAACTTTGGCACTTACAAGACAATATAGTTTGTTGGAAATAAACAATTCCTTCAACAAACTTGTGCCGTTCTACTTAGAATCCACTAAAGCACATACCTTCACCACATAGATCTACTTCGACTTTCTTTCAACACCTTAAATATATAATAGTAAGTTAAAAAAATGAGTCATATAGATTTCAAAACAGTTTATAGAGAAGTTTTACATTTCTCTATCATCATTTTATATATACCTATTTTTTGTGCAGGTTAACGGAAGATTTCCAAACGATCGGGATGTTTTGAAACCTGTACTCCCTTTGAATATAAACATAACTTTTTTTTAAAACGTTATGAACCGTCCTCCTGTAAAGAAAAGTTCTTGAGCATTTCGGTTGCAAAAGAAGCGAATATGCAAGTGCAAGTGGGGTAACTCTTAAGAAGCGCTGCGCAACCTCTGCCTATAACAGCAATAGATAACGGGAGAAATACTTAAAGATAAAGAGAAACTAGATTAAATGCTTTAAGGCGAAATAAATGTCAAGCTGAAACTCTGAATTATATTTAACCGGATTGCTAATAGATGGTTAACTGATTATTAATGCCCAGCAAGCTTGTGGAAAAGCACTACACACTACACACTACACACCAAAACGTAGTAAAACTAGACAGGAAGCAAGACTAGAGCCGTATAGTAGATGACCACCAGTGTAGGGCGAGCGCGTGTGGAAAACTCTTCCAGTTGCTAAACATATAAAGGAGCCATTATGCTAAATTTTGTAAGAAGGCATGGAGAAAAAAAAAAGTTTGATGAGTGTCGTTTATTATTTAATTTTGCTTATAAATTTAATGAAATGCTGAGCTGCTGAGCGTCTGTTACATTATTTCCTTGGGAGTCCAACTGCGGGAAGATTAATGAGAACTACTTAGTGGTAAGTATCCGCGAGCAACTCTTGAGGGCGCCTGAGCTTGGGTGGGTTTAGTGCGTGTACTTTTTTACAAATGCAATTTCTAATTTTACTCGTCAGTCTTCGCTACTTTTTATTGGCGCTCAGGTTATACGCTCGCGAGCTGTGTAAGACGCTTTAATTATAGGAAAATAAGCGATTAAAGTAAAACTATAGATGTTAACTTTTCTTTTAAGTGAGTCAGAAAACTAATTTGAAACGTATGATTAAAAATAATTTTATTAGTCCCTACACAAATCTTACCCATGCATTTAGGCAGTATCAACATAAATTTAGTTAAAGGAAACAGTAACTTTTATCTATCTAAGCCATAATATTTTAGAAAAGAGAAGCAACTATACTTGTCGCTTACAATTAATTTAAAAAGTTAGTACTTAATAAATTAGCACTTGTCCTACCGGTTTTCAAACCTGCTATTTATTCTAATGAAACGTCTATTGGTTTTTTCAGTAGGAAGGCATTACCACAAACCATGTTAATTTCAATCGGAAAATGAGACTTATTTCTGTAATTTTTATTACGCCAAGCTCAGGATACGTAATAAGAAGTTTAATTTTTTAGTAAACTATCATAAAAGTTATAGTGTTAAAAATGTCTTTTGGCCTAAATGGTCTGGAAAAAACTCCTTAAAACTTATTTTACTTTAACAAAACCATTATTTTTTTAACCTAAAACAGATTAAAAAATACTGAAGCAGTCCTTCATCACCCACTAAAAGTGACCCCTATAATTAGGTTTTTTGGTAGCTTAAAACTATTACTTAATATTTTTAAAATTCCTAGAAAAAATTTTATATTGAGAAAGTATACTAGACATATATAATAGTAAAAGAAAATTGCTTATAAATTATTCAAGTTTAGGCTATTTTTACCATCCTCTCCGTTAATTTAAAACCTACACAATAAAGTTAAAGGTATTTTAAACTGGCGTAAAACGAAATTTTATTAGCCCTTCTAGACACTGAAATTTTTATGATCGATTTAACCTATTTTTGAGGTTTCTATAGTAAATATATAAATAGAATAAAAGACAACTTATTATGAAAGAAAGCATGTAATACATCGTTATATAGTAATAATCTTTAAAATTAACCATGACCAAAGTTTATAATCTATTGAGATTTACCGGGCTTGTCGACATTTTTAACATCTATTTTCCAGTAAAATAGTAATGAGATTAGTTAAAGAATGCTTGGCGTAACTGCAGTTAATAAATTTTGAAAACAGTTTTCTTTGGTTTTTAATAATATTCTTATCTTCAAAAAAGACACTTAAATTAGAAAAAAAAATTCTAAAAAAAATAACAGAGCTTTTTACGCACGTAAATCCCCTTAAAAAAAACATGTTATACAAGCTTGCTAAGATTGTCCTTACGCGTTTGTTGATATTGTATACCTTAACAATTTTTTCTATAATATACCCTCTTATCTAAAATCATCAGTTATCTAATACATGAAGCCTTAACATTTGCTCTTTCCGCTACTCTACTTAACAGAATGTCCCTCAAGTTTAAGCAGCTAGGAGAAAATTTAACTCTACAAAATTTTAGGGTTCAATAATAGCAGTAACAAAACATAGTTTTTTGAACCTATAACCTATTAAGATCGACCTTTTAAATATCGCGTTGGTGCTTTCTAACTTTTACGTTTTCGAGGAAAATTTGATTTGAGACCGCTTTTGCGACTTTAACTGTTATAATTTAACTTATACAAAGCATTATAAGTGTTGAGTTGCGAGTTTAGTTGGACTGGTCTTGTTTCTTACCTTCGTTAACGAGGATATATTTATTACGTGATATATACGTCGATAACCCCTACTTTACCTCATTTTTATTTCATCACAGCTGGATGTAAGATTCCAAAGTTCTATTGTTTCTCAGGTGGGCAAAGGTTAATAAGTTATAACCGTAGAATGAAAAGGGGCTTCTACTTAAATATATTCAACTTTAAAACTTTTTAAAAGTATATTCGTAGATCCACAACAGGCTAATTAAAAGCCTAGACGCTTGCTTCAATCCAGTTGTGGACCTGTTGTTAGTCTTATATTCGTTCAGTTATACTTTATTAGTAGCCCATAGTCGTGCGCTTTTTTGAGGTTAAAGACCTTTTGTTCTTATTCCTTATTAAGTTGTTATTCATACTGTGCTAACTAACGTTCGATAGTTTTAGTAATTACTCGACCATTTTACTATAAATTTTTGTGCTTTGCTCTGAACACTCTTACTCCATGTTCAGATTTCTAAACGTTATTATTTCCGGAGTAGAATTAGACCTGAGGAGTTGGTAGAACTATCATATTTAATTATGTTTTTTTTAAGTTCAAATATTGTGACCAAGACTCAAATTGGTCAAGAGACTACACAAAGTGAAAGTTCTAAAAGGTTAGCTTTTAGAAAATATTAATATTAATTTTTTTTATATTTCTTACCCGCTACCCACATGTGCACTAGTATTATTATACGGGAATTTCCTTAATAATTTTACTTTTATTACCTTTAAGTTTTAAACACTAAGTGTGTCTAAATTATATGTAATTGTGTTACAAAAAAATTAAACTCAATTTGAACTTTGACAGGTTTTTTTTTTAATATTTTTGAAGTGGTGTCTTTTATTTCTGCTATTAAAGAAAAGGTGATGCCACTTCAGAAGAAAAAAGCGATTACGAGTGGCTTTTTTCCCACGTCCTCTGACGATAGCGGAACGCAGTAGGAAGCAGCCATATCTAACTTAACGTTATATTCTGCTTAAAGTCAGTTGCTTATTGGTTATACACAGTTTTTTGAGGGCTTTCAATGCGAGCATTTAAAAATCGGAATTACTCTTCTGCGTCCCGGAAGTTTTTTAAACGATAGCATCATAGTGTTCTGCATGAGGTACATTATATGCTCTCCATTATAATAAAACTGTTAATTACTCCGCCCATACTTACGGATATCTCCTGGAAAAGTATAAAGAGGGGGCTAAAAAAAAAGAATTTAGTATATTAACTCTTTCTTCTACAATATGTATAGAGTTAGCAAAAGTCATAAACATGTGAAGGATGGACGAAAGGCGTTGATGTTTTTGAACAAGACGCAGTTTTATTTGTTCTATATAATGGCATGTCTTTTTTTTACAATTGTGTAGTATTAATTGCCGCCTATACAGCTCTCATTGGTTCTTAACTGTGAATTTTTACCCTAATAACATCGCTGTTAAGCAAAATTCATTGACAGGAGAGGTGCCAAGGAGTTTAGTTAATAGAACTAGGGGGAAAAAGGGAATTTGCAACCACAATTTTTTTAGATCTGCCTTGCTTAATTGTGCTGGACTCCCTGCGCGGCAGTGAGAACAGTTACTCGGGGCATTTAAATAGTATCATGAAGTTTTCTTTAAGCTGGCGATTCACAAGCTTATGTTAGAGGTTTGCTTGCCCCTCTACAGTTATCTGCCTCAGGAGTGGACCGAGAAGAAGGGTGGCAGGGTCACCTCCACTTCTGAAGCGTTGCCTGCATTCTTTCCCCCAGTAAATTTGATATGTATTTAATCTCATATAATGTGGAATTAATTATAAACTTACGGGGTTGAGCAGCAAAAAAACTACTCGGACTGCGTGTTATATCTCCTTAGATACGCAGAAACCTTATTAATGAATTTCTCTCAAATTACAGTATGTAATTTAAATTGTGTACCCCACACTATAGTTACTTGACTTTTTAAACTGTGCTAGAAGCCGCGTGAAAACTGGTTTCCTCCACCTTTCGATTTAAAAAGAGAGTCCTTACTGAACTTGTTACATTCGATGGGAAATAAAGAACTTAAGAATACTAGTGATGAATGGATCTTATGTTATAAAAACATGTGCACTCCAATTTTTCCGTGTTTATACTTGCTAGTAGCAAAACCACCAACATGCCGCCATTTACTAAGTTAGTTAAGCGCGCTTTACTGCATCCTTCTTCGTAGAATAGTTCCTTGATGACGTGAACGCAAGCACACGCCAAGTTTGAGTAGGAGTTGATAGAGAAAAGAAGTGAAAAAATGTATCGGGCGTGTATAGGTTCTCGTTTTTAAGCTATTTTCATCATATATTTAAGGTCTAATGATTGACTACTGCGTCCACCCGCTGGAACATGAAGAAGTTTATTGTTGCAAGCTAAGTCTAGTTGCCACAACTAAATAGGGGGAAGAGGGGAAGGGTAACCTTAACTCTCTTATACCTTTTAGAACAAATTCCTGCATTTATTGCATATCTGTAAGAATGTAATGCTATTTCTTCAGTATTGCGTCGTACTGTATTACTAAAAAATAAATTCAGAGGTAAAGAGATAGTTAGATCTATAGACACCAAAAATTTATTCCTGTAGGGGCCCTTACGTTAAAAATTATATAATTGGAAAGAGGACAGTGAGCTGTTTCTCTTTATGACTTTTATTAACAGGTAACTTTCAGGAAAAAAAAGATGGTTTTAATATTAAAAAAAGTGATAGTTTTTTCTCACCACCACTGCTAGTCAGTTGAAAGTTAAGAAAATACCTAAGTATGTAAAACTGCGTATATAAAACTGCAATATTTATTGTCTTCCATTTGAAAAGTTACTCGTTTATTTCGACTGGCATACATATTAAAGAACGCAAAAATTCTTTTTAAACAAAGATGACTTTATACAGATGTTTAAAAAGGATGCCGGCGTCATTAAGTGGGTTGTATAGCTAGCGCGTAAATCTTTTAACCTTTAGTTTAATTAAATAATCGTTAAAAGACTTTTTTGATATAAAAAATTCAAAACACTTACCACTAACACTTGTTAGCCTTTCTACATATAAACTACAAACTTTTATTTGCTTGACGCAATGCTATTTTGCAGGCGACAACAGTAATGGGCTTCGCTGATGAAGCTTATGATAGCTTTGCTTAAAACTTTAAGAGTTTTAAGTGGCTTTGTTAGTTAACGCCATAGGACTCTTTAGAGCATTGGAACGGTGACTCTGTGCTATAAGCCGTTTCTTTACAACGTTTTGTGCAAACCGATTCGAGACTGTTTTAAGCTTAAAAAATAAAAAAAGTTTTATTCTGCAAGCGAAAAAAGAAAAGGAAAAGTTCCTTTTTAGATAATCCCAACAGGAACCCGTTAAGTTGCTTGTACGTCGGTTCGCTAGTGTGCTGCTTAGTAAGTCATCGCCTGAAAGGGGACACTATTTGCGGTCTTAGCGGGGACATTTTTTAAAGTTGAAAAGTCTAAATAAAAAGTCAATATCTAGTTTAAAAAAAAGTAAAGAAGTAACGCATTTCTTAATTACTTGAGTGTGTTGCACTTTTTAATAGTATTGTTCTTAATTATTTATAATAGTTGTTTTTTTATAATATAAACCGGCCCTAACATTGTACATATTTTTTTTTTACAAGCCAAAATTACTTTCAAATGTTAGGTGTTAGAATTCGAAGTTAATTTAAAAAGATTTATAAACAGTAACATAAACATCTTTTTAGTGGATAAACGCAGTGTTTCTCAAGGCGACAATAGGAGTTAACCTTTAGAACATCGATATATAACCTTTAAAAACCATCTTTGAGTAATATTAAAAGATAAACAGTTTTATATAAGGCAGTTGTAACTAAAAATTTTTCTTAAGCCGAGTTATTTATATAAAGTAAACTATGAATAGTTTATTTTAAAAGGGTAGAAGCTAATAACTTATTACCGATAAGTGGAAAGCATTGTCCTTATTTTTCACCCCTTAGCGAAAAAGAAAGTAATAATTTTAAAATTTATAAAATTCTTCGAGTAAATTTAGAGTGGACTGGATAGACAGAATTAATTGAAAAAGGTGGATTAATAAAAAAGACAATTATACGCGTACTAATAACAAACAAAAAGATTATATCGTACACCTTAATAGGATGTTGTTATAACAAGAAGTTAAATGCGAGCCAAAGAAAGCTTATATTTCTAATAAAAATAATTTTATACGTAAAAATAACCGCGGAAGACGTTTTTATATCGAATCTTTTTTTTTATTAGTCAAAAAACTTTGAGCTGGACCCTTCGTGCCAAGATAATTAATTTGCTGAGCCGATTTTTTTAAACACGATAATAGTTTAAATTTTTAAAGAAACTGCAGTATCTTATAAAAACCACAGAAAATATTTTTTAAGTTACCTAGTTCTTATTAAAACGCTTAAACTTTATTTAAGACCATAAATTATGAGCAATCTTTAGCCGTTCTCCACAAGTTTAGATAATTTATATAAAGTTCCATAATTTAAAACAATTTTTATAGCCACCAAGTTTTACCTGACACAAAGCCAATGGTTAAGAATATAAAATCGGATTTAACTAAAAAAGTAATTAAATTTATGCTAATTTCAGCCAAATTTCAATTGTAATTAAAAAGGAGCGTTAATTTACTTTACTCCTTTTACATTAGACATTACATGTTGATATTAAGACCTTGGTTGTGTACGGTTATAAAAAGTTAGCAGTTATTTGGTTACGATATTTGTTAAAGTTAATCTCAAGTTTTTTTTTTCAAAAAATAATTTAATGCTAGTGCTAATTAGTTGTTCCTTATGGTGGGTTAGAGTATTAACCTTTAAACCATATAGATGTGATATTTCTTATGTTATCGCTTATGGCACTATTGCTTCCTTAAAGCTTTTAAGCTTTTAGAATAAAACATATTTGTGGTATAGTTATATTGTAGGTGTACATGGCGCCTAAGCGTTTTTTTGTCATTCGTTCCACCTATTATAGACTTAGTTTTGACAAAATTTTAAATGTGAAATCTTCTCCGACTTAATTTGGTTAACGAAGCCAAGTAACTATTATTGAAAAAGATAGAATAATGCAGTTGCTTCTAACTACAGGGTGCTGTTTTCTTAACCGCTGTAGTTAGATTTTTAGTAATGCAGAGTTGGCTTGCTCTTTTATGTGCGTCTGAGTTTATGCGAGATTCTTTAATACAACAGCATGGAGACCCTCTCTTTAAACCAACTTTCTCTAATTTCTTAAAGTACTGCGAAGCTCTGGATCAAAAGAAATCCGAGGTTGATGCTTCCAAAGTAATTATTTAGCTTTTTAAAAATTGATTTTCAGCGGTACTTGTCATTTTTACCCTACACTCTCAGGACTCTTTCATTCATTTAATGTCTTTTTTGTAAAATTTAAAATTTTTTATTTCTGCTTAAAAATGTACGAACAGTCCACTCAGCTCTACCTTTTTTAAGACTAGCAAAGGAGCATAGCTGATATGCAAACTGTGGTCATGAAATATTAAATTTGGTAATTTAGTAGTTTCTGTGTACTTGAGAAATTTGGTTTGTGTTCTGTTTTACTAATTTTTGCGTGACTGTACACCATAAGCATTTTTTCAATGGCTATTTGTAATGTTCTGTAGAAAACTGCTTTTTAATCCACATAATTTTATAACAGGATAAAAAACACCCAGATAACGCATTTAATAATGATCTTAAGTATTCTGGTAAACGTAATCAAAAGAAAGAAACATTTCAGTCTCCAGATAAACGTAGCACTACCTCGACTGCTAGCAGGACTTTCCATCAAAGACCCTTGGCAAAGCGAGAACCTAAGCAAAAGCGCTCTAAAGAAAACCAGGGTAGCCCTAACGAGATGCCCTTTCATTTTTATAAAGGCGTCAAAAAGAGCAATCCTCCGAATACAGTGAAACGTGGAAAACCAAAATCGGATGCTCATCACTCTGCCAATATTACTCCCTCAGATACACTAATGCAGAAAAGTAGTGCATATCAGATTCCTAAAGTAATTTTACGAGAAAAGGAGGTAGGGCATAGTTATTATTTGCAAAAAAATAGTGCATATCAGACGTCAAATGTAAGTTTACGAGAAAATGGGGTTGGGCAAATTCAAAATCTTAGTGCACTTCAAAAAATTCACTATATGCAGAAAAACAACACATTTCAGATTCCGAATGCAAATTTACGAGAAAATGAGACAGGGCAAAGCCAAAGCCAAAAAACTCTTCCAAAAAGTTATCAAATACAAAAAAGTAGTGTATATCAGACTCCAAATATTAATCTAGAAAAAAACGAGGTAAGGCAAACTCCAAATCCTAATGCACTCGTACAAGGTCATTATATGCAGAGAAATAGTGCATTTAACACTTCAAATATGAATATACAGGATAATGAGGTTGGACAAACTTATAATTTTAGTGCACTTCCGCAAAGATATTATATTCAAAATAACAAGGAAGTAGTTTTTAAAAATACAGAATTATGTCGAGAACTGGTATATAATAATCAAAATGCTACGCTATCAGATAATTTAGTAGAGAGATGTTCTTACTGTCATTCTGCCTTGACATATTTCTGGACGAGAACTGCTACTGGTGATCTAATGTGTAATGCTTGTGACACTTCTTGGAAACTTTTTAATCGGCCTCGTTTAATGACCTTTGTCAACGATATTTTTCGAATAAACGAAAACCCGCCCAGAGCTTATAATCTGCCAGCTCCCCTGCGTTATGCGCCTAGCATGGAAGTTCCATTACCTCCCGGTACTTCTGAGAGCTCTGCGCTTAATTATTATATCAATAGAGGATTTACAAGCCCATCAACTAAGTAATTTTATAGGAAGGTAAGTCAGCCAAAAAAAACTTTAATAAAGTAACTCGTATAAAAAAGTACTTTTGCTGTAAATAAAGTTATTGAAAATTAAAGATTTTACTCGACTCATTTTAATAATATATTAGATCCACTATTTTACTTAAAGCATTTATTAATACAACAGTATTTCTAAAAACTCAAAAAAACATTGGTGGGACATGCCTTGTATGCAGAGAAGGAAAACTTGTGTGGTGAGTCGAGCCAGAGATATTTTGTTTACAAAAGCAGGGATGTTTCATGTACTATACCCCACCCCACCCCTTAAAAAAAAATATAGAAATATAATAAGTTCTCTTCATGTGTAAAATTTCAAAAAAGTTATGGTGAAAAGTAGGAACACTCCAAAAATGCTTATAATCTACGTAAACAAACATGTTTTCAGGGTCCTTCGGGTTGCCCCGACCTGTTCATTAACAGTTCATGTTAATCAGGTCGGGTAAAGTATCGCAGAATCTCTAATATATATTATGTGGAAATACTGCGGGTGGCGTAATGTAATGTTTATCTTTGGAAGTATACAGAGCATTTGGCTCTTATCTATAAGGGTTCTGACTGGTGAGTAGAAGTTGAGGGTTAATTATAGTAACGACTTCAAGCTAGTACTGCATACAAGCCAGGTTTTTAAGTCATTATCATTCTTTTAACTATACTTACTAAAGAATCTACAACCCCGGGCTTAACCCCTTCCAAGGTACCACATTTATTAAAACATTTATAATGCATCTACATGAGATAACTTTGCGTTACCAGGCGGGCTAATAGCGGTATCACTACGAACACCGAGGCCGTTTTGTTCTGATAATGCCAAATCGTTGTAGGGTCAACTTAGCAGTGGTAATAAAGCATCTTGCGGTATCTCGAATTAGTTAATTACTTAAAAGAAATTTATTTTAATTTTTGTTTTCTTAAATGGTAACGAAGCTCACTAAAAAGAAAACATTATTATGTTAGTTTTGAAAGTTCCAACTGCTTGCGTAAACACTAGTCAAATTAAATTTAAAGTTGCGGTAAACGTTAGAAACTGTAAAAGTAGCTTTTAACATGTACAGACCAACAAATAATAAAATCAGAGTAATGCTCCTATTTCATAATTAATTATTTTATATATGACCTTTTTGTTATCAAAAATTATATTTTAAAAGTTTTTAGAAAAAAAGATCTGCTGGAAGACCTATTACTAAGCTTGACAAAGCAAAGATCTAAAGTAGTAAAAGTTAAACTAGTCACTTCACTTGTTTAAGTCCAACGTAAGTAGTAATAACCCCTAAACCAGATAAATTTCAAAAATATTTACATTGAATCATAAAGAGCTGGTTCTATTTTTTAGGCTCATATTATTATCACATAATTATAATTAAGTATATAAGCGTTGTTTATTAAGCGCCTTGGATAGCTGCCCAATTTTCTCCGTGGCAAACAAATTGTTTAACCTTGTTAAAACCCTTTTTGGTTTGTGGATACTTAAGCTAACCTTAAACCGACATTTATTGGTGCATTGCATTCGCCTACATGGCCCCAGTAAAGCTCTTTACTAGCCCACCCGGATACACATTTTTTTAAAAACTCTCTCTTTAGTTTCGTGTGAGTGCTTTTCTTCTTGCCCATTTTAACGTATGGTGTTAAAAAATATATATAAGCGTCAAGGTGGTGAGGCTTTACAAATGTTTAGTCTAAGTCCTTTTTTTTCCTGTCTTTTCGCTTGTAAATTTAAAGAGATTTAAAATGATTTTTTCATCAAGGCTAAAGGTTCTAGTACTATATTAATTGCTTGTTTTAGGTTAATAATATCTCTTTTACATATTTGCTTATTTAGGAGATGCTTGAGACTTTTAGGGTTTGTGATTTAAAGAGTTTGCTAGACAAGTATAACTTGTCCCACTCAGGTTTATGAAGTAAATTAAGCATATAAATGTTTCTTACCTTTATTGTCTTTCCATGCTTTAGGAACGAAGGCTGCTTTATTCAATCGGTTAATTAGCTTCCTTTGTAAGTTGCGCACAGTGGAAGAACAGACTGAGTTTATTCAACGGGTGGATGATCTTTACTTTACCAGGGAGAGGAGGTTCACTGCGACAATATAAACGGCTTTTACTATAATATTTTTAAATTATATATTTTTTGCTTTTATTCAACTTCTCTCATATATAAACTATGGGTAATTTTGATTGCTGTGTAGTTGAAGCCTATCAATTGTAATAGTTTAAAAACGCGCGGGCGCGCGCGCGCAGTTGCCAGACCGAAAAGTTATCTGGAACTTTTTTATCCACATGAGAATTATGAGGTTTCTTTTAGTCTCTCTCCCTTCCATCGCTTTATCCGCTCCATTCACCAATTCGCCTCCGGTATATATGTACTTTACCTTTTGCCCTTTAGCTAAAAGTTGATTTTAAAGATGACCACTCTACGCTCCATATAGTTAAAGAGTTCTCGTTTTCGCAACTTGATCGCGTACGTCAAATGCTAGCGCCGGCTGCGTTAGGTCTAAAGGATGTTAATATTTTTAGCTTTTACTTTATGCGCAAGCGCGTACCGCCCGGGCTGACTCTAGACATCTTCCTTTCTTGAAGGTCTTGTTATTAACTGCTCCTGTCCACAGGGATAATAGTAATTTTATTAATGCATGAAGTCCCCCATTTACTGTACTTTTTTCTTACGTATTTTCTTCTATAATGGAGCCTGTCCTCTGCGGATTCAGTACCCGAACTGCTTCATCATAGAAGTGAACGAACACGTAATTCAGAGGACTTGCAAGAAAAAAGTTTTATTTACGATCCTACATATGTATATTATTTATAATGTATTCTTTAGGGTGCCATGGATGTCCCTTTGGACATCTCAGGCTATGTCCGCCTTGATCACGTGAATCTTTTGCGAATCCATTTGCTTACACGAGAAGTCGCACATACACGTGTTTTTACCCAACGTTCCTGTCACCCGTGTTTTCCCCACTAGCGCCTTCACGTGCAAATTTGCCTCGCTGAGTACAGCTCCCCTTCAAAGTTGCTGCATAAACTTTACTCCGAGAAGTTTATCCCGGCGAACGTCCTCTTCAGCGAATGTTAATGCCCCGCTTCGCTATATCATTTCCTCGAGTTCTGCGAGGTCTGTAACCCTCACGACCTTGCAGGGTCTGCTCACTTAAGCCGGGCAAACGACGAGGAATTGCAGGTGGAGTCGAGTGGCCTTTCTCTCTTATCTCCGGTGAGTGTTGTCTTGTTTTTGGACTCTCGGCTCCCACTCGACCGGCCCTGTTTGTACAGTTAACGCTGTCACGCATCACGACTCCGTGTCGCTCTTTGGGCTGTCGGCATCTACAGTGCTTCGATGCACTCGACTATCTAAGTCTTAACGAGAAGTGCCCTTCGTGTACGGCATTCTTTAGTTCATATCCATTACTGTTCTCACGCCTTCTCCTACGACAGGGATCTGCCCTTTGTGCAACCAGCCGGCAGATTTCGACTCTCTTGTGGTGGACGGGTACTTTGCCTGCGCCAGCCGCGTAGACTTTGGTATTCACACGACATTTAAGATACTTCCTTTCTCTCCTTGTCGGAGCTCCTCCAGACGTTAAGGAGATGGTTATTACTTACACGGGTCCATGCTTTTTTCTTTTATATATTGCGCTAAGCGTAACTTATCTTATGCACATAGACGGATTGAATTGGGAGATTGCGTACAAAGACAATCGAAAAAGACCTAGAGGTATTGCAAAACTTGGAGTGATGGACTAGAAGTGCTTCTTTTTTCTAGTAGACCATATCGGGAAGGACCACCAGCAGTACGAAGAGGGCGACTATTGCTTGGTTGAGGATGACAACACGACGTGTAAAGGACTAAGAAGAAAAAATACTCGCAGAAACGATCCGAAAAGAAGCGGCTTCAGTGTTCATCATCTTTTGAGCGTTGGAAGCAGCGATTCGGAAGAAGAATTTTCTAACTCAGAGCCACATATATTTCAGAACGGCAGTAACAAAAATATTTCGCGAGCTCCTAGCACTGGGCTTGGAGTAGCCTTGTTCAATGCTGCAGGCAAAGAAACTGATAAATTATCTCTATGATTCTTTGACTTGCTATTTGTACCTACAACTCTATAGTTGTTAAAGTTTTGGGCCGTCTATGACCAAATCAAAATATCTGCGGGGACTGGTCGTAAGTAGATTTCGATGCTGCATAAGGAGTGAATTACCTACAAAATACGCTTTAGTTGTGGAAGGGAATGATGTATCACTGTAATGAAAAAGAATATACAAGAGCAGGTGATGGTTCCCTGCCCTGTAAGAGGGCCTCCAGTTATCGCAATAGTTAACTTCTAAGAAACTGCAAGAGTTCCGTAAGCTTCGAGGCGGTTTAACAGCAGACCAATTGTTGTTATTGGTTTTGCTTTTGAGTAGATTTCAGAGTGCTTGTTTATCCCGTTTACAAATATCTACTGCTATGGCAAGCCAATGTAATATTGAAGCTTCTGGTAGCCCTTGTGCGTGGGACGTTGGACCAACTTTAGAAACTACTTTATACTAGTTTTATAGGTATAACTTGTTTCCATAATACAGTTGATTTTGCGTTTATTAGTGGTAATTTGGGATTATCAATGCAGCTACCAACTAGCTAGTAATTTGGCGTCAAGCTGGGCAAAGTTTGCGTGGTGGTGATTAAAAGGTTTTGTTTATTATCAAGATAGAGTTGACGAACAAGTCAAACTCGTTATGGATGAATTCTACCAGAAGATGAATTCAATACTCGAATATAGAAAGAGATAAAGCACCCCTACTTCAAGAGAGTAGGGATGAATTTATTTTGCGTCTCGAAAAGGGGAATATAAGTACACGATAGACCTTGCAGAAGAGTATCCTTCGGATTTGAAAGCGGGTTAGGGTTAGTGTTAGAAGATGCTCGGTAAAATTGAGCGCAAACTGCTTAGTTTTGCTAATAAACTTGCTTATTTTGCGTCGTTCGTATACAGTTTTCCGCAATACTTCTCATCACAGTATACATATACATATATGTGCCTAGAGGTTTACAATAAGTGTGCGCTTCAAGCGTATCGCGAATGGTCGAGGGCATGTACCTATTTATGGCAAGTTCTTGTGTCAACTGCTGATTTCATCTCACTACTCCAAGAAGTGGACGCCCACCTTAAGGAGTCAGGTAATATTAAGGTATCGAATCCTTGCACAAAAGAGACAACAAAAGGAACAGTAGTTGCGTTTTTGGGAAAAAAACATTCTGTTCCAGGCCTCGCCGACGTGTGATTGCGCGGCGGTCGATGAGCGTGAGAGCTTGATTTGTTGCGTCCGCACGAGATCAGCCCAAGCAACAGACGCTAGCCATAATACGGCGCACATGAGGCGCAGTTTATTGCGCAGGGACATTTAGCTTACTGCACACATCAGCGGATAGGGACACATGGGTTGCCACTTTGACCTTCACCGCAACGAATTTTACGTGTGGCCCCAGGTTACTCGCTGATCGATGATGACGCTCGAGTATATTGTTAGAATCCCACAACTCCAAAAAAGTGGACGCCCACTTAAAGGCGGCAGGGAATCATTTGTCAAGGTATTGAGTCCTAACATATAAATGCCCTGGGAGCATCGTTGAAACCTCGATACCTCTAAAGGTTAGAGGCAAGGGGTAGTGCGGTATATTTTAATTTGACAATCGCTGCTCTTCTCACCGTTTCTTGTTGCTTCCCACTGCAACGCTAGTGAGTGGTTAGTTTCCAAGTAGCATCAGGGGTGGTGCTGTAGTAATGAGGAGCTCTTTATCCCTACAGTAGTCTTGGTAGGTCTCTCAGATCCCCTTGAGTTTTAAGTTTTTACTTTATAGCAAGTAAAAATACAGTTAATTTTTGAACATTTGTTGTTTACTGAGATATTAGGATAAAGGTCACACTAAATTTTAACTTCTACCTATTTTAAATGATTAGAAAACAAAATCAGGATGCAACGATAAAATTTAATAAGTCTTACATTTTTAATCTATCTTCAAATACTGTATAATTAAACGCCATATATTACCCCTGAAAATTAAAAAGAAAGTTCATTTAATACAAAAAAAAAATCACCAACATTTTGTATAGAGGGGCATCTCCCTTGGCTATATATTAACTATTTTTTCGCAACAATCGTAACGAATGACAAAGGAATGTTCTTAACACAAGTATATTTTACTATTTGCGTAATAATATCTTGTTTTTCGCTTTTTACCCTTACACTTAGAGCGGTCCCCTTTATGATCTTTTTCTTAAATCTCTAGTTCTTGAATACCTAAACTTTCATATATTCTAGCAGTTATGTTTCGCCGAATAATTTTGTTTATCGCACACTCCCTCAAATGTTCGTAAGTGCAAACGATAGATTTTAAAAATTTTTTTTTCTTTTTCATAAATTTATTTTGGTCAACTTTTTCTTCATATATAACTTGGGAAATCATACCAGCCACATTCGACATAGTGAAGAATATACCATGGGTAATCGGCTTGTGTTGCGGACGCATTTATACAGAGTACATAATTTGTCGACCATAACTACGTCTCCCTTGGTTTAATGTAGATTGTTACTCATGTTTCTTTTTTTCTCCAGTATCCTTATCAATATGTTAATTTTATACAAACTTGATAAAGAACAACCTGGCCTTTTTTGGGGATCTACGAAACTAGTGTGGATTTTTTTCGGAATCCAAACATAAAGACGGTGGGCGGATTTTACCATTGAGAAATAGTGGGTGTATTTCTCCTTTATTCTTTCTAATTGTACCCAGAATAGTTAGTTAGCGGTTCGGTAAATCACATCAACTAATTTATCACTGGTAAACCAGTTATCTATGGCAATGTGTCTTACAGTATTCCACAATGGATCACTAAGTCGTTTGCCAATACTAGCAGTATCATTGTCCACTTTAAATGGTCCCTCCGGTTGAGTTCCGACATATACTTTCACATATTTAGTATAGTACATTTTCGCATCTGCCAGAGACACCATATTTTTTTGGCTTATCTGGCATATATTGCTCGAAACCGTAACCTCCCTTATAAGTCATACTCGGGTGGAAGATAGGGTAGTTAGAGTTTTTTTTTTTCGGCAATAGATTAATATGCCGATTGGTGACAAGTTATCTGTAGTTTTCCTTTCCGTCCGGGGTCTTTATCACCGAATCGTGTGTACTTCCTTTGAAAACGGAATTCACCATAGGCATAGCAAGCCTGAAGATCTCTATACCTGTACCATTTGTGACCCATAGTTGCTCAATGTTTAGCTTACCACTCTTGATAATACCAGCGAGATACAATAGGCCAAGATAAGCTAATAATTCACTTGGGCTATTCTATTTAGCATTTCTTTCATGAGCAAAGTTTAATATGCTTAATGGAATAAAATTATTGGTATTTTCAACAATTAACTCAATAATTTCTTCAGCAAAAAGACACTTCCAAATCTATAGGTGTACTTTTTCCTTTAGATCGGGAAGTTACTCCAGTAAATGTTATAGTTTGTGTACTTGTTCTAACGTTTTATTTCGGTGGAGCCATTTTATGCCACTTAGTATCCCCATCTTTTCCCATATACCATGGCTCAGCGCCTACTTCTTCATTTACGTTATCTGACAACTCTTGCTCCGTGTCAGATTCTTGTTCTCGGATTTCATAATTAGCGACATCGTGTATGTGCTCGTCACCACCATCCAACTTGAACGCCTCCATTTCATGACTTTTTTCAATACAGGTTCACCCGTGACAGTCATTTAGAAAAATCGATGCTGTACAGTAGCAGGCCAAGTGTTCGCGAGATTGATTATTAAGACTTTGTTAGTTTTCCGCTATATCCTTCATCTCATAGCTAACATAATAGGAGGAGGTTTAAGCCATAAGGTGTCAACTAATTTCCATACAGATAACTATTGAGCTCAAAAAACGTTTACAACCATAAAAGTGGTGCAAAACCATGAAGTAATCCATATTAACCCTACACCATTCTCAATTCGCATTTACGGTGTTCTTAGTCGAAAAGCAATCAAAAAAAGTTTCCTTTCTTGTAAAGCACCGAAGAATACTTAGACCGACCATCTCCTACGTGGCCATGCAGCTGCAGTACTTCTAGAACCCGAATAACACTAAATACCGGTTTGGTATGCAATTGTTTTGTGCATCAAAGTATTTGTGGTACTCTTATTTATTTTGTTTTTAAAACACTTAAAAAGAAATATGTATTCAGGCGAATAAAAGTTTATTTATAAAGTAAAAACAAAGTTTATTAAATTTTTTATTAAAAAATAAATAAAAAGGCATCATTCTTTAAAAAAGACTGCTTGTTATTTCTCATTATGCTACAAATCTATAGATAATATTACAATGAAAAAAAATGCGACTAAAGATTTTTTAAATATTTTTATTAGAGAGGAAATGTGAGCGGATCATAGAAGAACGCAGCAATGGGAGGGTACTTTTTCTATTTTTTTTGGAGCTCTCCGGGCTTGCCTAGTGAGCTCACAAAAACACTCCTCAATATTAAGCCGGTTTTTCGCGCTGGTCTCCAAATAACCTACATCTAAGTCCCGAAGGCTGTTGAGGATTTCCTCGTTGGTTAATTCTCTTTCGTGCTGAAGATCGGCCTTATTAGCGGCCATTATACAAGGGAAGGATTCAAACTCTTTGATCCGTTTCACCTAAGTTTATGGGTTAAACGCTAATAAGGGTAGAGGACATCCCAATCATTTAAATTGACCTGATTGATAATAGATTTTGCTTCTTCAAGCGAATCGGCGTCGGTGATGCTGAAAACCACCACATAGGCATCGCCACCTCTTATAGTGTGATCTGTTGGTAGAAATATATTTTATTTATGTGAGATTGACCAACAAAAGTTAATTTTCAGCTACCCGACAATAAGGTGTACTCCTCCTGGCCAGCCGTATCCACCACGTCAATGGCTACTGGCACTCCATCCACAACAATCCGTTTGTGATAAGTTTCCAGTATAGTAGGATCGTACACAGTCTGGAAAGTGGATTGTGTAAACTGAACGGTTATGGAAGTTTTTCCAACGCCTCCAGCACCCAGCATAATCACTTTCAACTATGAGATATATATAGATATAGACAGATGTAGATATTGCTTAAAGCAAAAAATGGCTTCAGGAAAACTAAGACTTTATAAAAAGTATCCCAATGAGTTATGCCCCGAATGCTTTTAAAATAGTTTATTTATATTTACAAGTGAGCTCACAAAACTTCTGTTTGGGTTTTTTAATCCTCAATTTCTTGCGAAAGAATTGGATTGGTAACGCTCAGTAAAAGGGGTAGGTAGAGAAAAAAAACTTAAACTCCACTTTAAAAGCAAACTTTTACTTTTTACGACTTATAGACATGCGTATGGGCTAGCACAATTGTTATAGAGAAAATTCCAATTAATAACTCGGTCGACCGAGTAAAAAAAAAAGTACTCTTTCAGAGGTAAATTCGCCCATTCTGGCGAGGAGAATAAATTACTTGAGGAAAGAATAAATCCACTGAGGGCGAACAAAAAGAAAAGTTAGCAGATCGTAAAAATAAAAAGTAACATCTTTTGTGTTTCAGTCAATACAACTACTACTTATAGTCCTACTATACCCAGTTGATAAGTGTTACCTTTATTTTGTCATATTTAGAATGCAAAATTACCTTCTCTTCCTTTAAATATTACGAACTTAGAATGTTAAATAACGAAGAGAAGACAATGCAACCCATCCACCAGATTCGTCTAAATAAAAGAGAGTGCGAATCGTGCACTATAGTATGATGATCTTGCTACTATAAATCAAATGCTGTTGCGACATTTGAACTTTTCCATAAAGAGAAACAGTTAATTAAAAATTACATACAGGTTAACTTTATTGTTAGCATCTTAATTAACAAACAAAAGTAACCACGAAAGAAATTGGAAATTTTAGCTCATTAATTGAAAAAAAAAAGTTATAGAAATATTATTGTGAATAGCTAAATTGTTTTAATAGTACTCAATGCACTCTATTTTTTTACAGTTGTATTAGAATTCAGAAATATAAAAAGTCGCACTTATAATACGTGATATTTTCGGTATTGTGGTATGCTGGTAATTACTAGCAGTCGCCTCTCGTATTTGGCACCTTGTGGTCGTAATAATAAAACTTAGCATTATAAAAAGCTAAATAAATATTAAAAAAATATTTTTTTTTTAGTTAATAAAACATACAACTTTCTTAATTCAAAACTACGATAAAAAAAATTTCCAATTTTTTCTTAACCAGTAGAAATTTAATAATGATTTTGTAGTGCTATAATCTTACCATTAAAATTTAAAAACTAAAACAGTGTCGTAATTTTTTTTAAGCATATATTTACGAATGCATTAATGTAAAGAAACTTTAAGTTTATTCGTTTTTAATTTTCGATTAATTTACTTTACACTATAATAAAAACTAAGATAACTTCATTGTTATACAGCTTATTATAAAACAATATGACGAATACTGGATAGTAAGGGCGCCCACTGATAAAACTAGATGGGCTTATTAAGGTCTTAATTATTCAAGGTGTATATAAGCCTATTTATACTTGTAGTAGTGTTAAAGTAAAAAGTGTCCTAGCTGGTGAGAATTTCTTTTATTGAAAAAAAAAAACATTAAGTGTTGTCTTATTGACATGTTTCAAAAACAACTTAAAGAGGGTCGCATATACCGAGGGAAAATGTAGTAAATACGGTTAAAGATGGTTCGGGGTTTGACATAGGTTTTAAGAGGCCCCACGGTTGTTTTAAAAATGGAGCTATCTTCTTTAATTTGCGTGAACTTCTACCAATCGACCAAAAAAAATTTCAAAAAAGTTATAGCGCCAATTCGAGAGCGTTCGGTTTTTTTAAAGATCTCATGGGACAGCGTTGCATTTTAAAGCATATACAGTTAAGATTTTTCCGACTACTTGAACGAAGCTAACACAGATTAAACCGCAATTGTTTTATCTGTCAGTATAAGGACCCTTCGGTTAGTTTAAGGAGATGAAGTTGTTAAAAAATTGATGTACTTGCTAGCTCAAAAACATAAATATCCTTTTCTAACAATAAATTTTTTTTTTTGATGAAAATATTGCTAGTTACTTCATTATTTTTATATTTATAATAATTTAATATTAAATCTAATATTAATGTGACTAGGCTAGAAAAAATTGTTATATAAGGAATAAACTAGAAAAAAACAGGTGTAGTACCTGATTTACTTAAAAATTTTGTAACGTGTATTGTAGTGATTAGGCCTGGTAACTATAACCTTCGCAAAACCTGCGTTAATATATAATTGAGTTTTAGAAGAAGGTAAACTAGAAAAATAGCTGTAGTACTTAGTTTAATTTTGAAACGTTATAGGCTCTTAAAGGTTTTTTTGCTCTTTAGAGAAGCTATCACAAATTTGTTTAGTCTCTATAAATTCTTACTTTCATTGTAGAGCCCTGGAGGCATTACCTAGGGTGATCTAAAATGGTATAAGTACTTGAAGGTTTTACCCAATTATTAGTATAAATATCACTTACCACAACAGGCGCGCTCCGAAGGTAGAGAGTAGGCCTAAATTCCGATAAGAGTGCCACTAAGTGCCCTTGAAGTGGGAAGTGGGTGATTCATTCTCAGCGCTCTCCGGGGCTCTGCTACAGAGTAATTACCTCACTGAGCAGTCAGCCATATGATCGGTGAAAAATGCCTTGTCACAAGATCAACTAAAAAGGCGTGTGCTGCGTCTCTTGAAGTGCGAGAAGGTGGCGTGATCAATGTCGTTTATCGCTTAAATGTGGCTCAACAGAGCAGTAGTCACCCGAAGGAGGTATCGTTCTTGGATAAGGAGCTTCAGTTAGTCAACAAGCGGTCGAAACAGGACTCAACTTCATGTTTTGTCGTGGCGGTATAGTAAGCTGTGGCCACAGTACCTGTAAGTTGGACAACAACGGCGTCCATTGGATAACCTGGACTGTTAAAAGCTTAGTGAATTCTCGGCCCCTTTTTTTACAAAGCCCATTTCAAGTAAAACTTGCCACGAAAGGTTCCTAGAAAGAGATTATTGACGGCGAAAGACTGTAATATAAGCGATATTTACCACATCTGATGTGCCAAATTTGGAGGTGCAGTCGTTAAAACTTTCGCCTTGGCTCTTTAAACGGGGCGACAAGGTCTATGGTGTTTAGCTTGGTTAAATGTTTCCTTTAATTCTATTAACTAAGTCCCAACTGCCTTAGTTGGAAAAGATACGGAACTCTATTCTTTGGGCTCCAACAGCTCCTACAGCCCTTGTTTCCTGGGTGGAACACCGTTTGTATTTTAAAATAGCTGGATATGGCGGCGCGTATATAGCTTTATTGATAATGGATTTTATTTTCTTTACTCTCTATATTACCGTTAATTAATTGTCGTTAATGTAGCAACAATAAACCAAGGAAGTCTAGTTTTAGTGAAGTGTGTAACCTACTCAAAAGAGTTTTAATTTTGGAGACTAATTAATTATATATTAAGCTAAAAGAAAAAAGAATAGCTGTTACCCCAACTACACAGTTCCAATTCCTTTGAATATGTACTATATTGGTCTTTACATTTTAATCTAATGCTAGTTATGCAATTAATTAATGGCCCTCAGAGCATAGTATCAATTAGAGTATAATGCGCTAATCAGTTGCTCTGTTTAGTAGTTATATCAGGACTCTCATAGGATAGGACCAAATGTTTCTCTAAACTTTTTTCCCTAAGCGTTTCCCGAAAAGTTACCTTATTTGGTGCGCCATAACTCTTTGAACGAAGACCGGGGTCTGGAACAAATCGACATTTCCAATATGCATTCCGAGGAACAGTGTGCAGAAGAACTTATAATAAACCCGGATAGGTGAGCACTTCAGCGCAACTTCTTATTTTTATATATATATATATATACTAGGTAATGAGCAAGTCCGCTAAAAATAAAATGTATCATTACGCACAAATAATGTGAATTATTAAGCAAGGCTATGCAATTTTCGCCGATTTTACCGAGCAATTCCACAAACAACCATTACAAATGAATAAATGCTACTGTATCAGCCAATACGAATTTGCTTTAGGGAAGGTAGACGTTATATCCTTTTTGCACATACCTTATTAAATTTTTTAAATATATCTAAACTTTTGAATTTGGTTAAAAATATGTATACTATATTATAAGTTTCAAACTACCACGTATTATAATACGTTTTCTTTATAACCTATGGTATCTGAGAGTTCAAATAGATAGTAAAGATTTTTCTTTCACGTATGAAAACTGCTTATAATGTTTTGAGTAGAGTCGCATCGGTCAGAAATTTTTTTATTACGTTAAAGTTGGTAAAAACTTTACTGACTTTAATTTATATACTTGTAGAGCAATTAAAGGATTTTGTAAGGTAGTACCTATATATTTGGTACTACACGGACATTATTTTAACCATTACTTTTATTTGTCTTGAATCAGACTTTTATAGAGACCCTAAATCTTGGAACTGCTGTTTTGTATACGTCATACCATGACATATTAAAAAATTATTAGTTACATTTTTACTTGTTCCGGCTAATTTGTATATGATATAGTCCAACTTAAACATCTAACTTACATGATTTTTCACTATAGTATAACAAGTTTGACGGGTACTTATATTTTCTATGTTAATTTTACTCTCGGTACGAGTACTTTAATAAATTAACTATAGTCCCTATGCCATTGATGTGGGAGTAAAATGGAAACAGAACGAGATTCATTGAATTGCTCCAGAAACTATTAAAAATGCGAAATCTAATGTTATATTAGTCGCTATTGACTCTAATAATCACGACAACATATATGGTAGTATTAATTTTCACCAAAACCTTAAAAATTCTTTTCAACTTGATAATTAACAGAAATATAGTTAAAAAAAATGATATATTTCAAACATTTTTTTATTTAAAAAAGTTCAAGTGTAACAAAGTATGTGAAGGTACGACTTGACTATTACAACTTTTACTTTCCCCTTCACATGGGGATTAGTGTTCGTGGGAGGCGTGCAGGTTTTTTTTAGTTATGATACGATTATGCATTACTAAAAGTTTCTAATCATTTAGCTTTCAACGGTTTATGGCTTTACTACTTTAATATTTTTACAAAGATGATAATTAAGTAAAGTTGTAAAATATATTTATATACTGTTAAACCTTAGAGCAAAGTATTTAAATCCAAAGCTATCCACTTGGGTAACTTTACTATACTCGTTAAAGCAAAACCAAAGAAGGCCTTAGCATCTTACCTTATACTCTTGGGAAAGATTTTCAATAGATATATAACTTGCTTCAATGTAATTCTTAAATGTATGCAAGGAAAAAAAAACAATTAAATTATTTCAAGGTTTTATAGTAGTCAATATTATTTTAAATTCTTTAATAATATAAATATCGCTTTTTTATATTGTAAGAGAGCAGCTACTCCATTGGAGGCAAGCAAGGAAGGCCTGCAGTAAGAAATTATTGACTTAATAATAATAAAAATGATTGTCTCATACGATTTTTATGAACTACATACAAGTTAAGCGCTTTAAGTGGCATAACACAGTCAACTGCTGCTTACCTGTACAATAAGGGATGTCGTATTCAACTGGCTTACTTGTCTTGTCTGAATCAGTGAATGGTATCGCCTTACATAGAAAAAATTAATAAATATAATTAAGATGAAAAATTTTATAACTTTCTATAAATCATTGTTCAATTTTTAAATAGACTTTGTAATAGTATTTATATATCTTATTATAATAATAAATAGCTGAGTATAGCTGAATGTAAATTGTATTAGATTTTTATATACTTTATAAATATTATAATAGTTTTTTTTTCCACCCCTAAACTTCAAAAGGGCACGCTGTTTATATTTTATTCTTAAAACTTCAGCGGCAGGCAACAAAGAACAGTATTAAGCTAAACAACCGATTTTTACACGCGCTGCACAACTTAGTCTCTCTAGTATGAAACAATACAGCTTCTGTTTAATAAAACTTTATATAAGCGGTGGAAGTAGGGCAAAACGACTTAACGAGATATAGTATATAATAGTAATAACTAAATTAGATTTACTTATAACCTGTGAATTAGTCGCCTTCACTTCTTTAATTTAAACAAAGTAGATATATAGTATTTCTTCGTTAGCGATTCGATAATAATAGTTGATAAATAGACATTACTATCGTTAAGATGCTCGTGCTCATCCGCAGTTGACTTGTTGAAATTTTTAAGCTGGAGGTAGGAGAAATGAAATAACTAAGATTATTAACTAAAGACATTATACTAGTTTAAGTCGATATATTTAAAATTACCTTTGGACAATCGTTGATGGTCATGCGGTTATGCTGAGTATAAATTTTAGTTATTAGTAAATTTCAAAGTAATATAATTTTTAGGTTAACGTCGTAATTAGGAGCTGTTATTTTGGATAACTGGGAGTTAGCAATAACATTCAGAGTCCCTCTTGAAAAACTTTTTAATTATAATAATAGTCATAGTAAACGTAAATACTCCATAAAGTTGGGCAGGGTAATTTCCTTCAATTCTTTACAATTTTTTATCTAAATAGGCAAAGTAAACTTATTTTATTTGGAATAGAGTAAAACTGCTTTTCTAAAACGAGACCTCGACGCTTCCAGACTCCAAAGTGATTATTTTTAAAGACTTTAGAGCATTGTTATTTTTAATAACGACTTCTAATAATATAGTTGCTTGCCTTAGGCGTATACCAAACAGTTTTTATGAACGCTTTTACCTGTACTTTTCAAACGAGGCGTGGCGATGGTTTCTTTTATAATATAAATCTAAAGTTACTGCAAGGAAGGCTTATTATGAGAGTTACTTAAATCCATATTCCCTTGCAAGCGTATATACTCTGCACTTTTGGCTTTCAAGCTAAAGTTTTGGAGCCCCAGCGTATTCATTACCATCACTCTCTTTATAAAATGTATTTTGCTTGTAATAGTAAACTTGGTAGTCACAAAAAATAAACCACGGTCTTAGTAGGATTACGAAGTTCAATGTTTTCAAGGTTATGAGTGTCCACAACTCTGACCACCGCAACAGCTGCAGTAGTGAGAATCAAACCTAAACCGAAGCTATAACAAATTTCTGACACTCTAATTTGGGCAACAGCAGAGTCCCTCCTAAGAATTTTGTTTTCTCGATATTAATAGTTCCTGCTTTCTTTAGCCCCGGGAATGCCAGGTGGTTTATCCCTGTACAGTTAAAAAATTCGTGAGATTAATAAGCAGTCACGGTGGCCTCTATTGTTGCCTGCAGTATTCAAAATTGAGATCGTTTCACATTCTTTCAATTGTGGTAAGTAAAGTCTGATGGGGCCGTCTGCGTATACTTTACTCAAGTCTAGTGTGTGTAACATCTTTATTAAGGGAGCTATTAGCTGCTTAAAACTTGAGTTGAAAAAGATCAACGCGTTCGAACTTTGCAGTAAAGATAAATTTACAATGCTAAAAAGTTTGTTAAAGTAAATTCTAAACATATAATATTCATAAAACTACTTCAAGTCCGAATTTATGAATTCCATCTCTTTGTTATACTTTAGAGTCCCGAATTCAAGTGGATTCGACGCAGACGAATGGAGCCCTGTTACTTTTAAAAATTCGATTTTCTCAACTTTTGGCATTCTTAACCTACTTATATAAGGCGTAGGGTTGTACATATGGGAAGATAAAGATTATCGTAAGAAAGACCACCAGTAGGCCCAATTAAATAACCCTAGACAACTAGTAAATAAATAAGGGAACTATTCTGAACTTCACTATGCTAACACTTTATAGTTTAAGCGCAGTATTCCATGTACTTAATTCCCACTGACAGCTGACTTTCTTTAGGAATTAAGAGCAGTCTTTTTAATTCTTTCAAACTTGGAAAAGATAAGTTGGTTACCCCTTGGAGACCTGAAGGCGCAGTGTCACATGGAAAAATCAATATTTATATACATGAATATCAAGTAAACCAGCATCGACAATCTCCAGATTTTTAATGTAATCAGTCAAAGGAAGTTCTCTATATGTTTTTGTCAGTTATGATTTTTAAAAGACCGCCACCAATATTATATAAGGTGACAATATATGAAACTAACAAAAAGCTTTTTGAATTGTTAATCAGTAGATTTTCAATTCGATGGCACAAAGAAAATCTTTCATATTCGGTCCCTTCTCTCAGTACTATATTTTCGCACTCCACCACAACTTTAAGCAGAGGGTAATAGATTATATTGCTGCGTTGGTAGTAAAAAGAAATATTATTATAACCTTACTTGCATAGTAGAACGATACCTTGAAACAACGGAAGTTATAAAGAAGATGGCAAAATAAAAACTAAGTACAACAAAAGGTATACGGTCTTTAAAATATTTTTTAGATAGTTCGATATAGACATTTGTCTTACTCGCGGTTGCAATCTCGCTAAGGCCTATATGTAATTATTTACATAGTTTTATGGGTGCTTAAGAAGCTTACTGCTTTCTACGAAGGTCAATTTCTTTAAGTTACTATCGCGAATCTTCAACCTTTTGATAAAAGCGGTACGCCACTCAAGTGCTTCAGGAGTTTGTGTACGTGATTCAGTAGCTTTAGAACTCTGTAAACGAATAAAAAAAAATTTACTTTTGCTAAGGGGAGCTTTAAGTAACAGTAATTTCTAATAAAAATTTTTATAATTTTTACAAGTAATATCTATAATCGCTTGAAGCAAACAGCCTAATCAATTAGTGTGGGCTAAAAAGCCCTCCAAAATTTTATATACGACCTAGCACAAGGAAAATATCTGACAAGATGTCGTCCCTACCTTCTCCATACCACAAATTTGGGTAGTTCTGAGTTGTGTATTGTAGAACCCCTTTAGCGTGTTGTAGTTGAAATTATAAACAAACCTCCTTTAAATTACTCGAAAAAATAATCAATTAAAAAAACGCTTTTTTAATATAACTCATTATGCTTGTTTTTAACAGCTAACCTTAGCTTTATTAGAGAAGCTATTGGTAGACCTACTTTTGGGTAAGCAGTTTGTTTATTAATATTTTTTGTGTGGCTAATTATCTGATACATTTTGCTCAGCACACTTCATACCTAAAACTACAGCCTCTTGAAAACATTATTTTATTTTTTTAATATTTGTAAAATATTTTTTAAACTTGAGTTCTCACAAATTCCTCACCTTTTCCATTTAAGTTTAGGGGAATATTAATAGTATTACTGAATCACTTATGGGGCAAAACACCACCAGTGACATTTTAAAAGTATCAAAAATTTAGTAGCATGTTAAAAATTATTATTTTACAATAGCGTTATTTCAAATTAAAAAGTTTCTATAAATCTATGAGGGCAATATATAGTAAGGGCGCCAACAAAATTATGAATCTCTGTCACAGTAGTATTGTAGACCTTAAACTTACAATGTAGTTGAGAATATCCCTCCCAACATAACATTAAATTTAACAGTTTGTAAAATAGGATAAATGTTCTTGGAGTTTTGTAAAATAAAAGTTTGACTTAAAAAAAAATTAATGCTTTTTTTTTATAGCTTTTTTCCGTTTATCTTAAAAAGTATAAAATTAAAATCAGTTTATACCACTGAACTTAGGGCAGCCAAAACCATTACAGCCACCGCGATATTTTAAACAAATTTTGCTTGCCTTATATCATGGAACCCTTTTCATTGTGCTCTAATAAGCAAGGTAACATTAAGATATTTGATAAACCTAACATGAATAAAAAAGCAATGAGTAAGAATAAAGTTCCACTTTTAGTAGTACAAAACTAATTAACTACCACTTTAGAAAATACAAAAATTAAGTTAGGAGCTTCTTTTAAATGAGTGTATAGTTTTGCACGTTTACAAAAAGGCTTTTAAGGATCTGTTATCCTGGTTTATTATTAGTTTATAGATCAAAGCAATGCACAGAGTGCAAATAGTTAAACAAACCAATAAAAATTAGTTAGAATGGTGTTGACAACGCCGAACTATTACACGCTGTCCCTTGCTTAAAAAACATGATACTACTGCCAGTGATTACTAGTGAGCTCGATGTTTGTATGGCTCCTTGACCTGATTAAGTATTAAAAAAGACATTTACAATAGGTCTTCTACCTTTAATCAATACTGACCTGTTAATAAGAAGTGGCTGCCTTTCTCTTTTCCTCCTAGTTTTATTCGATTTATGAGTTCTAAACTTATGGCACATTGACTGTGTTTTTTTACAAAGATCATATATTTTTCTTTTTAATGTTTAATACTGAACAATGCTTTTTTAATTTGTGTTATCATAAAATTGCAATAAACAAATTTTTTCCGCTTTTTTTAATAAATCTATTTTGTTTTAATAGCTTTGTAATCAGATTTATTTAATTTTAAATTAAGTTATATGAAATGCTTCATAATCGCAGGGTTTTATATGCAATAAAAAACGGAAGGTGTTTGTCCTTTTTTTTGTTGAAAGGTTTCAGCCAATATTTTTATTTTTTTTATCGTACTCTCCTTTCCTGTGAAATAAAAATGATAATAAGAAGTAATAATAAGCTCTTTTGAGACATTTTTAACAATGCCAGCATAATTAAAGGAAAATAAAAGATTCTAAATCTAGTTAAATTCAGCGAACCGCGATAGCAAAATATTCAAACTCAGAGTCTATAAACGTGTTAATTTATATTTATACTCCGCTCAATAAAATAAAGATTATGGTTATTTCTATTTTTATACTTACGAAACAAAGAAATGTAACTTTTAAAATACGAAAGCGTTAGATAAAAGGGGGCGGCGCGGTAATATAAATTAAAAAAGTGTGCTTTAGGTAGGTAAACATCTGCTGTACTGTCAAACCTTAGATCCCCCCTTTAGAGGATTTAGCACACACTAAAAATCATCCTTCATGAAGTTACAGTTAGGATGCTATTGAAAAGATTATGTAGGCAAGTTAAACGTGCTAAAAAGGAGATGCGATGAAGTGAGTTATACTATATCTCATTAGCTCTCATTAACTTATGGGTGTATAAACATCCAAACATCTTTAAAAATGCATTTGTAATTAAGTGATAATTTACATAATCCTTTTCTCCATGTACAGCTCATTATTTCTCATTCTCTTGTAGTTGTATAAACATCTAGAGTTTTGGAAACTGCGTTTTACAATTAGATGATAATTTACATTATAAACTTTTCGATATAAAGCCAATTTGAAATTGACTTACAGTCCAAACCAGAATCTAATAAGCAGTCTAAATTGGTCCAATTTCTGGAAACACTAAAGAAGAGAGCTTTTTCCTTTGCTATGTGGTTATGTACAAGAACGGGTCGCGTGCGTGCCCAGAAAGCTTTCTTTGTTCTTCGTCTTATATACCTCTTTAACGAAGCTAACTTTAGTGGTGGTTAGTGACTCGTTAAATTATACAGATATTAAGTGATCTTTGTTTAAATAATTTAATGAGAGCTAGGACAATGCTAAACCTTAGGAATAAACCACTCTAACTATAAAAAGTTAAATATAAAGCTTAAAAATTGAAAAGGTCAACTAAAAAGAATAGGGGAGGGAATGGTGGTGATTACAGAATAACTGTCGTGTGTGCATTTTTTTCCCTACGGAGTGTTCTTTCGTCTTACTAAATAGCAGGAGCTTTTCAATTGGTAATAACTTCGCTGCTTGCGCTCACCAAGTAAAGCATGGTGCTCAAAGCCCGAGATTTATAACACACGTCGCTTTCTAACCAAATTTTAAAACTATTTTCGCATGACGGGAAATATTTGAGTTACACCAGCTACTCTTTTCTCTATCATAATTAATATACTATACGATTTAACAGATACATTAGAATAACATGGAATCTTTTTATGGATTGACATTGACCAGCAAGGGAAAGTGTTTTACTTATTAATGATTACAATCTGATCAACAAGGGAGTGTGAATAAGAGCATTATGGTATAGGTGTGCACCCCATTATTAAAGAATGGATGGGTTGGTTAAGGTTATTCATCCTTTTATATTATTTGGACTTAATACCTCAATTAATAATTTTGTCCTCTCGATTGGGCAGTCGCTCTTTGGCGTAGTGGAAAAATCTACCAGTCAAAAATCCAACGCCCTCTAAAGGTTAAATTCGTACAACTGTCATAAGGAAATTGAGAGTTGTCGTCGTAGCTCAACAGTTAAGGGTATTGACCCGAAAACTTAAAGTCGTGGGTTCGATTCCCACTGACGCGACCATCAAAGACCAAAAAGGAGAGCCACGGCAACCCTCGATCCCGGTATAATAATTTGACGTATTTAGCTTGTTATCCTCACTCTAATAAGAATGTAACCAAAGGGCAGTAGAAGGGAGCATTAGAACGGAAACAAGAAATGAGGGAAGACCTATTTGCTTTTTATTAATGTTAGTCTTTCTAAATATATTTTAAAATAAGCAACAAATCACTAAGTCATCCTTGTGTTTATGGTTTATATATTATTTTAATTTAGTAAAGTTTAATCATTAAAATATAGTTAATTATTGGGTGATGATTTCGTTGTAATTTTTATATTACACTTAGAAAAAAAAACAAAACTATAAGGCATAGGGTTAACCTTGTATCAGGTTTGCATCGATTTTATACATAAAATTTATGAATTTTTCATAATTAAAAATGTTCGGAAAATTTCTCAGTTACGTTATTTTGAGATTTTAATAGCTTTCAGTCAATTACACTCTTAAGGAAAGCTAGTTACTAAATTTGGATGTGTTCATGACTTATATATTGGACGTTTAGTTCTCCAAGAAAGAAATTAACTTTAAAAAGTTTGAATTGGTGTTTGTATAAAGTAAACTAGAGAAAAAATAGTTCTCTTTGTTACATTTGACGTGTCATAGTTAAATTTAAGTTTAAAGTCTTTCTCTGGGTAACATACTAAAATTAACCTTAATCGTTGAAAGAAAAAGTGATCAGTTGTCGTTGGCCATAATACGATTTAATAAGACAATTTTAATTAAAGAAAATTTATTGGGGAAAGAACCGTTAGATATGGATCACCCCTTTGGACACATTTTTATTTTAACGTTTCTTAGCTGCCCGCACATTTTCGATATTTTGAAATCAAAAATATACGCTTTAGTATTTTGCGTGAAGACTGAAGAAAATAAACTTTTAAAATCTCATCTTACTTCATGTTATCGAGATATTGTCGCTAAAAGCTTAATTGTTCTACGTTACTTATAAAAAGTTTTATAGCTAAGGGATATTCGTTGTTGACTTGCAATCCAGTTGTTTCCGTCCATTATTTCCTAATTAATTATTATATTTAACTAAATCCTCGTCGTTACCCAGGGAACCTTCTATTATCGTCGCTATTGTTTATAAAAATTAGCTTTAAACCTGTAGAGTGTTACGGTCAACTTATGGACATAGCAATAAAAAGTTCACAGAATCAGAACAACGAGATGTCTTAACAAAACTAGTATAAGAAGCTTAAAAAAAACTTGAGTGAGAGAATTTTACTAATTTTTCTCATATACACAAAACACAAGCATAAAAGGTATATAGTTCATAACAGCTTTATAAGTGGGAACATAAAAGACTATCCTTTACAGTTACCAACTATATAGTCCTGTGGACTTAGAAATTAAATCAAAAAAAAGCTCTACTATTAAAATTATAAACATAAATAATAGCAACGACCATTAAATGATATCGCGAACTGCGTAGAGCTAAAACTGTGAACACTAAATTTCTACTTCCTATACTTAAATTAATTACAAAGTTTTGTTTTAATAAATTTTTCTTGTATTGATTCCTATAATCTTTTACTTGCCAACAATTTAAACTTAAATTTGTTAAAGGAAGCAGAGTTCTACCGAATTTAATTATAAACAATGAAAACAATTGCTCTTTCCTTTATTTTAAAGTTTAACACGAGTTGGCCTGTACGGCTATTATTTTGTGCGAAATAAACCTAGTCAGAGCAACTTATTTAGAGTATTTCATAAATATAGTTCTTTTTACTAACAGATATAGACGGTAACACAATTATATATTAAAGTAGTTAATAGGTTGGCATATAACGTTCATGACCAGCTTTGCGTTATAGCCTTTGTAGAGTTTTATAAAAAAGTATTCGACTTGGCCGCTATTTAGTAGCGCCATAACCGTAGCATATAATGGACAAGCTATGTTCTCTTCATGTAGCTAATACTGAAGTGTCCCCCCGTCAATTCGCTACTATAAGTAACTGTTTTAATTATATCCTCCAAATATTATAATATAACTGTTTAACTTTTCCTGCTTTTTGCTAATATGGAGGAACCGTTACAGGGCAAAAAGGGACATCACATAGAACGGCAGGAGATAGGTAAGGCCCTATTAAAAAACACGTGAACAAATTTCATAATCGACTGCACGTGCTCTGGAGTTATATGTAGAGATTGGCTCTCAAGTTTGGCTCTTATAATATTTTCTCCTGCTGCCCTCTTGCTCTGCTTTTGTTTGAAAGTTATTTTACTTATTATTAAGACTGTAAAATTATGGATGGTAAAGACAAAGTTATCCATGCAAGAGTTAAGAAAGTTCTTGGTAGAACTGGATCTCAGGGCCAGTGCACTCAAGTGCAAGTGGAGCTAATAAATTCAGGTCTAATCTTTTTATTTGTAATTAAATAATGATAATAAACTTTTAGACAGTACCAGTTAACGGATCCAATCGCACGCTTATTCGTAATGTTAAGGGGCCTGTCCGTGATGGTGACATTTTGGCCCTTCGCGAGAGTGAACGTGAAGCTCGTAGGCTTCGTTGAACTGATTTTGCATTTTCATGTATTTAGTGTTACGTAGTTTTCTCTCTGCCGTAATTTTTCAAAGAAAAATAAAAAAACTTTCGGTGTATACTATCAAAATTTGGTCCCTTTTTATTGGAAGCTTTTGAAAAGTTGTCCTAAACATTACTTATTTTCGTTATCTTGTGGTAATACTTTAAGAAAAAATGTTTTACTTTAAGCTTATTTCTTATTATTAACTGCAGACCATTTTTTTTAAAGAAAAGTACAATAAAAAATTCAGTGGGATACCTTTCACTTATATTTGTGATGCCTGAAGTACATGTTTTTCGGTACTAAAAATGAAACAAATACTTTAAAATTTAGTGGGTTTTTTTGAATTTATACCTTTTTAAGAAACGATGAAAGCTTTCTTTGTATTATTAAAAACTTTTATTATTATAATAAAATTTATAAATTTGTTAGTCTTTATTTGGCTTAAAATGAAATGTGCTTATGCCCTAAACGATATATGCTTGCAAAAAATGTTTAACCATTAATTTTTTATCTTCCACTTAGAATTTTAGTTAAATTAAATAGTTATAATAAAACTTTATTTATAGGTAAATAATAATAATAAACATTTATAATGACTTAAAATGTCGAAGTCGACAAAGCCACTAATTAAAAAAAGCGGGGATGGTTTTTTTTCTTATGTGGAACACCAATTCCAGCAGCTCGTCAGTCGGCCGTCCACACACGAACCTCCTGAATGCCACTCAATATTTCTAATGAAAGTTAAAGAGGGCTGCTCATTTTTATAAATACCATCACTACCACTTCCATCGAAGCTGACGAAAAAAGTCTCTCAGCATAGCAACTTTAGCGGCCTTTTAGTATATCATAATAATAATAGAAAGAAGATAACCTTCAACGCATCCAAACTTTTCCAAAAGTTTTTTGCAAATGTTATTATTCGCCAGTTCATCGTTTTGTTCCTTTTGAAAGTACAGCGATTACAATAAATATTATATTTGACAGGTGCTTACAAGGCACGTGGCAATAGGGTTTAAAAAATTTTGGAAACGAGTATACTTGTCTATCAAAAATAGCGCATTCGGAGCATCTCTTTATAAATTTTCTTAATAAATAATAAAATAATAAATAAAAAACTTTTATGGACTTAACTATTTGACTTAATACTATTCAAAAATTATGATTAAACGAATACGGCATAGCAGTTAGACGCAATGATGGAGCTAAAAAGTCACGTGGTATAGGGATCACACCTGTCTCCCAAATGGACTACGCTTCAACTGACCCCCAATTCGTCGCAGTGTGGATTGACTTTTTTCAATATATTTGCTGATGACAATGGCAATAAGTAACAATGGTTATAATAATCAATATATATGAACCCACGGCACGAGCAACGCTGGGAGCGGGTTGATCTCTGTTGAAGCCTTATCCTACAAACTGGATTTACCGCATAAGTATAACAAAAAAAAAGTTATTATATAAAAAATATTTTCATTAAAACTTATACTACACATAGAAAGTACCAAAAACAATCAAAAAAAAATAAATAGGAATGGGAAAGAGTATTGTTATTAAACCGATCATGTATTTATAAATAATTTATAACCATAAAAATAATGAACTTTCTACCCGACCTGTGTTGCCAAAGGATAGTCTGAACTTAGCAAGTCCGAGTCGGCCATAATCCATAACTTGAATATTTTATCCTGGATGTTCCGCCATAAACATAACGACTGCCGCACAAAACAGTATTGCTTAGCGTGATCATGTGCTAAACCAGAGCCTTCCACCCTATTATTTTTAATTATTATGACTTATTATAACTTTTATAAGTAAAAGTTTATATTATTGTACTTTATTATATTAGTTTTAATTTTAATATATATACTGGTAAAAAGTTCTTGAACTTTTAAAAGCGACTTTTATAAGTAAAGGTTTATATATTTTTATTATCGTTTAATTATAATATCGTTATTTTTTATATATTATACCAAGTTCTTAAATATTATAAAAGCAAAAAAAAATCATAATAATAAAAAAGTAATAATATTACTTTTTTGTTTATTAGTAAAACTATTGAAATTAATTTATTATTTCTATACCTACAACAGACTTTATGACTACTTTTTCTGTTGTTTGCTATTGACATTTATAAGAAAAAATATTTTTTTGCTTAACAGTAAAGTCAATAGTAATGAAATATTTTTTATAAAGTTTTGTTAAATTTAAAATATATTTGTTTATTTATAATTTTTTAAAAAAAAATTTATGAAAATGATAATATTATTAAAATTAATATTTATAATAATAATTGATAAAAATGGTTGCTCAACCACAAAACCACAAAAATAATAATAAAACTTATCATGTATTGTTCTCTTATAAACAAAACCAATAATAACTTTTCATAAAAGCAAATAATATATGTACATATATTTAGTATTTCTATAATAATAATTAATATTATTCCTACCCGGATATTATTTTTAAAAGAAGTCTTTGAAGGTTCATGGCGAGGATCAAAGGTGTCGAAAAAGCCAATCATTTTATCAATAGGCCATCGGTTTTCCACCAAGAAACTATAAACAAGCATTGCAAAAGTAATAATGTAATGGCTTAACCTTTTATAAAATAACATAAAATGAGCTGACCTATTATTATCAGTTATGCTATCAATAACGTGCTTAATATTTTCCACTTTTACTTTCTCGCTATATGTTTTCTGGTAAACGGTCTTCCTCGCTTTCTCTCGAGTGTCATTAAACGTGGATGGCAGCTTATAGTTGTATATAAATATTAACGTGCTTCACTTATATAACTATATTTTGGTGCTCTTTCCCAACCTATAAAAGGTGGAAAAAAAAACTTCATGACAGACACAAGTCGAGCGCCAAATAATTAATTTTTTGGCGCTTCTTCCCAGCAACTAAAGAAGGAAATCATATATATATTAACGACTATTAACGACGAAAAATACAATATATTCATGGACTTGCAGAACAAGCAAGGTATGCGCTTCATTTATATAAACCTTTTTGCGCGTTTTCCCAATAATTTAATATATAAGTAGCGAGAGTTTCAATGTTCAAGGACTTGTGAAAAAAGCAAGTCGCAAGCATAAAATCTTTATCTTTCAGCATATCAAGCGCGCCAGTTTGGCTAAGAAGAGTGTGCACCGTTTCAATTTCTTTATAAACATTGAAGTTAGAAACGCCTAAGAAGAAAAATATAAAGAAGATAAATATTTGAAAACATAAAAGCAATAATAATAAGTAAATTATTAAAAAAGTAAAAAATTTAAAAGTATTTCTAGTAAATTTTAAAATATATAATAAAAAGATTAGTAAATTATATTTCTAGAGAAAATATTAAATAAATATTTCCAAAATTTTAAAGTAAAAAATAATTTTTATATATTTTTAATTATGAATCTCAGCGGGCCACCTATTCGTCTTATTGTGTGAAGGCAAGTTTACAGCCAAAAAAATCTGGACACGTTCATTTACGTACTGGAACAAATTTACAGCTGCGGTGAATCATCTTGGCCTCTGCCACCTTCCTATTAGAAAACGCAGTTAATAGTTTTGAAAGCGGGCTAACTGCCCATGCCAACGCGACAACCAGCCACTAAGTAGCGTATCGCACCTGTCGTCTATAGAATTATTTAATAAACCTTATTGGTCAACGCCTCAGGTTAATACGTCGGGCCCCTGTTACATAAAACCCGACGACAAATTAACGCTACACCGCTTTCACAGATACAGTAGTAAAGAGTCAGCCGCTTTTCACATTAGTTTCTGGGAGGCGCAAACCTGCAGGACGTGTCTGTAGCAACTGACAAAGGACGACTACCTTTTTGGCACTTTGCTAAAACAACAAAAAACAGGCGTTGCCCATCATCTCCGCTACATGATAACGGCATGATATTGGCTGGGAGACAAATAAAGAACATAACGCTCTTAGCCAACCAATCTTGAAGCTTACTGCGTCCTTCCACTGGGCTATCTTAGAGGAAGAATACATGACATCGCAAACCTCAATAATTTTTAATGGACTTATTAAACTGATCATAGCTGGTAAATCGCTACTATAAATTCTCATGCTTGCGGTAAAAGTACCGGGTCCCAATTAGATTACTACAAATGCTAAAAATGCTACCGGCGATAAACCACCTATCCTGTTTTAAAATAAATATTATCAAAAAACTGCAAGTATGTCAAAAGTGAAGTTTTCAAGCTCTACTGTAGTTAACCAAATATTAAGGATTTCAAATGTTAAAAAAATAAAAAGTTATAGAAAAGCCTAAACAAAAAATTGACAGGTTAACCCCATGTTTAGCGCAGCACAGAAAAAACGGTAATACATTATAAAAGTACTAGTTTAATTATTATAGTAAAGAAAGTGGAATATAATTCCTGCACCAATAAGGTAAAGGGAGTAGACTCACTTATACGTTTATAACATTACATATTAGTAGCAAACGGGCATAACTTTAATAGTTATAATGAAGAATTAAAAAAAAAATTCGTGCAGTCATAAGATAATACTATTAAATAAAGTTACTCATTTTCGTTTAAATTGTGAAAACACACTACCAAGATTACTAGGTCCACGGTTTAAATAACAGGACAAAATCAGAAATAGCGTAAAAAAAAACAATAACACATCTAATAGAATGTAAGTATTAGCTTGCTAACTAATAAAAAGTTTTTAATAAAATAACGAGTAATAATATGGTAATGGGACGAGAGACAACTAAGTATTATTACTTTTTTTTCCAAAGGCTAGATTTGCACTTTCATTGGTCACTTTCGCGTTTTTAAAGTTATAAAACAGTGATAATTTGGATAATATAAAACTGTTAAAAAATTAACATTGCTGTCGACTTTTGCGAAGCCATAGAGATTATTTAACATTCTAACAATAGCTTGGCAAAGATGATGGAGATAAGCCCAGTTTTGATAGCCAGGTTAGCATTTCATATTAAAATAAAATAATAAAGTTATATAAATAGTTGAGAAATATAATATTAGAAAATGCAAAATAATTATTAGTAAAATACTACAACTAACACTTTAAAGAGGAATCCTTTTTCTGTTCAAACTCGGAGTGATGTCAGTTTTATACAAAAATTATTTTATATTAAAAAAAAGATAACATCACATTACTTTTAACATTGTTGCATCTGCCATTATCAACGAAGCGAAGGTCCTTATTAAAACGTTCCAAGAAATTTTATTTAGTTCCTCTCGGGCTCAAAGTTAACTAGTCTCCTCAAACTTTATGATGGTTGCGAACCATACCAAGCTTAATAATATAGCAGAGCAGAACTAATAGTAAAGCGCTTCTAGTTTTATCGGCTTTAATAATAGGCTTGTGTTCAAATGGTAAATCGCGCGTAACCCATTCATAAATATACTATCGGCAAGGGAATACTTAATGAAAATGAACGATAAAAAACCTGCATTTACTTTATCAACGAAAATATTGTGCAAAAGTTATATATTGACATCTCTAAGATTTTGAAAAAATCAATAAAACTTTATTTGGACATCAACAGGTTCCTCTTTTGCAACTAAAACAAAATTATTCTGTAAAAAAATGTGCTTGAAAAGTGCGTAATTTCAGTTTTTTGGCTGATTATATATTACTATCATTTCCGTTTAATATATACGAAAGTAAGGATAATAGAAGTTACAGTCCCTTTACAAAAATATGCATATTTCTATAAAAGTATTTCAACTTCAAAGTTTTGAAAAGCTCAAAAAGTCATAGGACGGTAAAAAGTTATATTATTCCATATATATAGTTTTAAGGTATATAATAAAAATAGCTTAAAGTAAAATCAAAAGTTATATATAAAGCTTCAGAGTAACTAAGTTAATGATAGCCTCACTCAAGGAGGCCCTGTCAAATAAGAAATAATTTATCACAAGCATATAAAAAAAAAGATTTTTTTTTAATCGTTTTATAAACAATTGATGTTAAAAAATCCAAAAAAAAATTTATGCACAAGTGTGCACTTTTTTAAAGATTAATTATCATATTTAGTAATTTCGTGGAAAATGAAGGTTGCATTTGGTCAGAGAACTAAGTACCTCAACAGATGATTTTCTGCCCCTGGGAGAAGCGTCCACCTTTGGGCGTGATGAGAAATTTAAAAAAATTAAAACAGATTTTGTATTTACTTTACTACCGTTTGCACACTTTTATCTTCTTTTGTAATCATCCTTATTGTACTAATTTTAAAAAATTAGTTAACTCCATTTTTTTTCATTAATAAATTGCTCTATGTGCTCTAGTGACCAGCTTAACCTAGAAAATAATTCTTATTATACTCACAAAGCAGATTAAGTTTTCAAATCCAGGTAGTGTGTTATAACTTTATTAATTTTTTTTTATGTTTAGTTCACCTTCGCACATGGTATAATTAAACCTTAGTGATTAAAAAAGATGTAAAAACGGAAGTTGTAGTAAAACTAGATATCGGTTCACACGCTCACCATGAATATCAAACATTAAGAAAGTCAGTCCTGACCTTTGAAAAGGGATTAAATACATTTATAAAATAGTTATTTAAATATAGATGCAGGGGTAGTTTGTAATTTAATTCCGATACTTATGCTAACTAAACAAAGCGAAAAAATAGGAAAAAGTTGCTCTAATAACGTCCGCCTAACAGGGTCGTGTATAAAATTTCTTGCGCCTACTGATAATTTAAAAGCCAGCCTCTCGTTCGTCATGAAGGGTGTCACGCACGAAATACGACGCACCATCAACAGCTAGTTTTAATTTACTCGTAGTGCTGCCACAGTAAACACCCCATCGAACGTCCAAATGGGTGAAGCGTAGGCCATGTTGGGGCGTACACACATTATCTCTAAGCACACTTCTTTTAAGAATTTTGTGTTGCTGTCTTGAAAATCTTACTAAGTTCCGCCAAGTTGTCGCCAAGATACTTCGTTGTTGACGGCCCCACTTGAGGATTTTTCGGTATCTTCATTCTCTGGAGATAGAGGCGGATATAGCAAGTTCGCCTAAATGAGAGGAAAAGTGCTTTACCCCACACCGATTTTACGCCCTTTTATTTGGCAACAGCTAAGCAACTGTTTGTAATATTTCCGTTAATGCTAATTTGGTAACTCCGGGCTTTTTTGACTATACATGAACTACTGTGTTAACGGCCTAAAGTGCGATGCGCGCGTGTAAGTTCGCAGAGGTTGAACTATCATGTATATATAGCGCGATCGCCAATGAGGACAGCAGAGACTCTGATGGTAGTCCGCGGCAGGCGAGCGTAATTGTGAAAACGTAGTACCAGAAGGAGCTTTTGATGACACTAATATTTTCCCCATAACTACATTAGCAGAGTAAGGATATTTGTTGCTTTTCTACATACGATTAAGACAGCCTGCCCCTAAAGAACAAGAGTTTCCACTCCCTGATCCCAATTTTTTGGGTTTAATCTTAAACATCAACCTTTACTCTGCGCGTAAAAGTTTTAGTTGCCAGTTATACTTCTTTTTATTATACCGGCGAGTAGTAGGTAGTTTTAATACTTTGAGCTGCTCTTTTCGAGGTTGAATGCGTCTGGACGGAGCTGACTAGGTAATTTAAGAAAAGTTGTGGAATTGTCACTTTTTGTCTTAAAGTTTTTACTCTTTATGACGCATTGGGATTCAATATTTTCGTTATGGCTTGTTAATGCTTGTAGAGCAATAAAAAGTGTATATATTATTAATGATTATAAAAATTAAAGAAGATGCTAGAAAATAATCCGCATAGCCCATCGACTAGCAGAGAGGTTCAGATGCATCTGGACACCAAGAGCTTGCTTTCATTATTTGCATTCGATCCATGTGCAATTATTACCGTCCAGTTCCATATATGGTAACCGTTTATGCTGGGTCACGTAAGTTGGTTGTAATTGATTTATTTTTATAATACTTGCCATATTCACAAAGGCCCTATACAAATATTCATAACTAATTGTAAAGCGAAGCCTTCCAAGCTTTGGTTCAGCAAGGTTATTTAGCGAGGGGCCTTACTCTTTCACAGAGTTCCAGTGTTAGAACTTCTCTAGGGCGAGAAGATCCACTTTTCAATACGCAGAATAGACCAATACCGGCGCTTTTTGGGGTTACCAGCATCCTCAAAAGCCTTCTTAGGCTCATTGTTATTATTTCTGGCAAAATAATTATTAATAGGCAGCTCGGTTTATGTATAGTTTTGGAGTACCCTAGACTATAGGGCTGCAGGGGTCATAAAGTTCAAATACCATTCTGGGTCTTTAGGGCTAAAGCTGTAAGATGTTAATAAATATATTTACACTCTATACGAGACCTTGAAAAGTTTCTTGCCAAATTTCCAAATTTTTTTTAGATAGTATTTCATGTATTTCACCGCTTTATCGCTTTCACTCAAACTTAAACTTGCTGTTTGCATTTAAACTTATTATAGTAGATAATTTTCTTTTTTTTATCTCCATCATAGAATTATTTCACACCCCCTAGGTCCTCTAACTCAGTCGCTTTTGTATACAGGTTTA